TGGTCACCGCCGGTGTCTGGTCTCATTTGTCCCTACTGGGCGGGGCAGCATTCTCGATGGTCTTTAATATCCAAGGGGGCGCGGCTAACCTATTTTTGTTACGTTGGTGTTTCCCTAGATCTCCGAAGTGCACAGTAAGTGACTGGTACATGTAGCCAAATGTCGCATTGCCTGAGATTCTTTATCTAGGGGCCCGGGTTGTGCCGGGTAATGCTGAGGTTTGCATCACTCATCCCGGGACCCTGGGATGCCTTGAAGGACGCATTAGGTTTTTCTTTACTTGTGAATTGGTTTCCCACTTAGTGTGAAGCTTAAGGTGTCAAGAGATGTTTTTCGGTCTCTCGGGAAAGGATAGTAATCTGCTCAAAGCAGTTTGAGTGGAATTTCTAAAGTCTTAATTGAAACTGAAATGAACTGCAGGATTCTTAACAGTTCCTTTCTAATTTCTGTTTCTTAGATGCCTGAGGAGGTGCACCATGGAGAGGAGGAGGTGGAGACCTTCGCCTTTCAGGCAGAAATTGCCCAGCTCATGTCTCTCATCATCAATACCTTCTACTCCAACAAGGAAATTTTCCTTCGGGAGTTGATCTCTAATGCTTCTGATGTGAGTACTCCGGTCTTCCCTGATGGAGTGTTGTGGATTTTATTTGCTTTTTTTCTTCATATTGCTGGAGAGGGAGAAGGATTGACTTGACCTTTGTTGTAGGCTGCTGTTGCAAGGGGTAAGCAAGCAGTTCCAAAAAGATTGGCTTTAACTCTTCATGGCCATCCTTTTATTTTTTGATTTTGGTACCGGGGCTCAAACTCAGGACCTTGCGATTGAGAGGCAGGCATAGTGCTAAATCCCAGGCCATCTTTTAAAGGGGAGGTTCTCTGTCACGGACAAGTGGGATACTGGTGATTAGTTCTTCAGCCTTATGGGACAATGAGACTTGAGGCTATTTGGGGACAGGAAACCAGGAGATTTTATTTGGATGAAGAGAAAGGCTATTTGAAACACAGGTGTAAGTAGTAGTTTGTATTTACAGGCTTTGGACAAAATACGCTATGAGAGCCTGACAGACCCTTCCAAGTTGGACAGTGGCAAAGAGCTGAAGATTGACATCATCCCCAACCCTCAGGAGCGAACCTTGACTTTGGTGGACACAGGCATTGGTATGACTAAGGCTGACCTCATAAACAACTTGGGAACCATTGCCAAGTCTGGCACAAAAGCATTTATGGAGGCTCTGCAGGTATGTGGCATTTCGTCTGGACATGTGTTCATGTGCTTTGGAGTTTCTGGCTTCGGTATTTTTTTTAGAACTGCTTCGTTTTCTAAAATTTGGCAGGCTGGTGCAGACATCTCCATGATTGGGCAGTTTGGTGTTGGATTTTACTCTGCCTATCTGGTGGCAGAGAAAGTGGTTGTGATCACAAAGCACAATGATGATGAGCAGTATGCCTGGGAGTCTTCTGCTGGGGGATCATTCACTGTCCGCGCTGACCATGGTGAGTTGGCTTCCCCATTTGGCTGGCTTAGGGTCCTTTGGGAGAACGAAAGGAAGTTTTGGACATCCTATTTGCAAAGCACTTTTTCATTACAGTTGTGCTTTTCATGTCTTGTCTGCACTCTTAATCATAGTTGGCTATTTTTAGGGGAGCCCATTGGCCGAGGCACCAAGGTGATCCTCCACCTCAAAGAAGACCAGACAGAGTACTTGGAGGAGAGGCGGGTGAAAGAGGTGGTGAAGAAGCACTCGCAGTTTATAGGCTACCCCATCACCCTCTATGTGAGTATGCACTGTACCCTTCTGCATTTGCCACCTGTGGTTTCTTGCTTCCCTGGGATTTTGTCCTTCCAAAGTTAACCACTATATTTGGTACTTTAGTTGGAGAAGGAACGAGAGAAGGAAATCAGTGATGATGAGGCAGAGGAAGAGAAGGGTGAGAAAGAAGAGGAAGATAAGGATGATGAGGAGAAGCCAAAGATTGAAGACGTGGGCTCAGATGAGGAGGACGACACTGGTAAGGATAAGAAAAAGAAAACCAAGAAGATTAAGGAGAAATACATTGATCATGAGGAACTGAACAAGACCAAGCCAATTTGGACCAGAAACCCCGATGACATCACTCAGGAGGAATATGGAGAGTTCTACAAGAGCCTCACCAATGACTGGGAAGACCACCTGGCAGTCAAGGTGAGAAGTGTTGCAGATCAGGTTGGAGATAAGACACAAACCTTGCTTAGCTGGTGATGGCTGAGAGCTGTGAAAGATGTGGAGCCTCCCATGAGTTCACTTTCTAATGACCCTGCCACCGTGATGATTTTCTTCTGTTAGAAGCCTGGGTGGTGGGTGTGGTGCCTGTGGTAGCCTGACACGTGTAGGGCTCTGATCCAATCTGCTGTCTAGTCTGTCTAAGGATTACTTGCAGCCTTTATCAGTCTGGGTTGGTTTGGGGCATTAGAGTATAGTTTTTTCAAGAGCTGCCCTAGGGTTTGTCTCCAGTCCTAGGAGGAGGGCCATTGTTCTGTCATTTTTGTCCCTGAAATGTATACTGGTTTATCATCTTGGGTTTGTTTCAGCACTTCTCTGTAGAAGGTCAGCTGGAATTCAGGGCATTGTTATTCATTCCTCGGCGGGCTCCCTTTGACCTATTTGAGAACAAGAAGAAGAAGAACAACATCAAACTGTATGTCCGTCGTGTGTTCATCATGGACAGCTGTGATGAGTTGATCCCCGAGTACCTAAGTGAGTATCTTCTGAGCCTGGTGCAGTGGGGTGGGCTCTGAGCCCTGGAACATTCTCCTGGGAGTAAAGTCTTCAGATAATTGCTGGTCTGGTTCTCAGCAACACAACGAATGAAGATAGGCGAGCCAAACAGCTTGTGTTTGGGCCTGGGTAACCACATCTATTCCAGCTATTTTTACTGAGCTTTCTGCCCTGGTTGGTTTCAGACTTTATCCGTGGTGTGGTTGACTCGGAGGACCTGCCCTTGAACATCTCCCGAGAAATGCTCCAGCAGAGCAAGATCTTGAAAGTCATCCGCAAAAACATTGTTAAGAAATGCCTTGAGCTCTTCTCTGAATTGGCAGAAGATAAAGAGAACTACAAGAAATTCTATGAGGCATTCTCAAAAAATCTGAAGGTAGGGAGGCAAAAACTTTATAGTTCCTTTGATCACTTGCTTAACAAATGAGATTTTTCTCATGGATGATTTTTTTTCTTCTCACCCTTAAAGCTTGGAATCCACGAGGACTCCACTAACAGGCGACGCCTTTCTGAGTTGCTGCGCTATCATACTTCTCAGTCTGGAGATGAGATGACATCCCTATCTGAGTACGTGTCTCGCATGAAGGAGACACAGAAGTCCATCTACTACATCACTGGTGCGTCTTGAGTCTGAGCAAAGCCATTTGGGTGGGTGGCATGGGGTGGATGGATCTGGATTACCTGAGGCCTTTCAGTGCCTGAGACCCATTTGCTAACCCCTCAGGCGAGAGCAAGGAGCAGGTGGCCAACTCTGCCTTTGTGGAGCGTGTGCGGAAACGGGGCTTCGAGGTGGTGTACATGACTGAGCCCATCGATGAATACTGCGTACAGCAGCTCAAGGAGTTTGACGGGAAGAGCCTGGTCTCTGTGACCAAAGAAGGCCTGGAGCTGCCTGAGGATGAGGAGGAAAAAAAAAAGATGGAGGAAAGCAAGGCCAAGTTTGAGAACCTGTGCAAACTCATGAAGGAAATCTTAGATAAGAAGGTTGAGAAGGTGAGCGGTTCTGGGATTCATGCCTCCACTTTTCATGGTGTCAGACAGCTTCCCTAAGGCATTATTTCAGCTCCTTGCAAGAGGTTAAACCCCTTTGTTCTTAGCACTCCTGACTTTCGGTGTCTTAGTTTCTTGATTGAGACACATTGTCACAGGGCTGCCCAGGTTGGCCTCAGAGCTCTTGGGCTTAAAAGATCCTTCTGCCTCAGCCTTCCATTAGTAGCTGGGACTGCAGGTATGTCCTGCCCTGCTGAAGTAAGGTTTCTGTGACCATCCACAGGTGACAATCTCCAATAGACTTGTGTCTTCACCCTGCTGCATCGTGACTAGCACCTATGGTTGGACAGCCAACATGGAGCGGATCATGAAGGCCCAGGCCCTCCGAGATAACTCTACCATGGGCTACATGATGGCCAAGAAGCACCTGGAGATCAACCCTGACCACCCCATTGTGGAGACGCTGCGGCAGAAGTCTGAAGCTGACAAGAATGACAAGGCTGTCAAGGACCTGGTGGTGCTGCTGTTTGAAACTGCGCTACTGTCTTCTGGCTTCTCCCTGGAGGATCCCCAGACCCACTCCAACCGTATCTACCGCATGATCAAGCTAGGTCTGGGTAAGTGGGGACTGTGGGGGTCCCCACAGGCAGAGTGGATCTCTTCTCATTGTTCCAGTTCTTATGAACGAGCCTTCTCCTTTGCACAGGCATTGATGAAGATGAGGTGACCGCGGAGGAGCCCAGTGCTGCTGTTCCTGATGAGATTCCTCCCCTCGAAGGGGATGAGGATGCATCTCGGATGGAAGAAGTTGATTAGGAGCTTCCACTGTAGGAAACCTGTGCCCTCTGTATAGTGTCCCTACGGCTCCCCCAGCAGCCTGAGTGGCCCTGTCCCACCTCACTCCCTCTGCTGATGTCTAGTGATTTCTCCTGCCCTGTGTGGAAAGCAGGAAGCAAGGGCCTCAAGCCCCACCCCTCCATTATTTGACAGCAGGGTTGGATGTTGTGTATTGTGATCTTATTTTTTGTTTATTTTGTTCTGAAATTAAAAGTATGCAAAATAAAGAAGAAGAAGTTTTATACAGTTCTGCTCTCCTTTTACTGCTTACTCCTGGGTGTTACAAACAGCAAGGTAAGCTGGATTCTTCCTGGGCAAGCCAGCAACTAGTAGGAAAGGCACACTGGTTATATTAGCTGCCTTGAGTTAAGAGTACTGCCCTGTCTGTCCCCTCCAGCCAACCAAAACAATGGGACCAAGTCTGTTACAGCAGTTTAATAAAATAAAATTATAAGAGCAAAATGTGACATTTCCGAAGTACCAAAACCTGTGCCTGCCTTGGCCCAAGGGCACAGCAGCAGGGACTGGGCAGGGTTCCCATCCCTCCTGGCACAGCACAGTCCTCCGTGTACCCCCAGGAAGCAGCATTTGGAGTCTGCAACACTTGTGCTTTTCTCACAAGAGTAAGAAATGCAGGTCAGGTGGACTGAAGGGAAGGTGGCCAGGTGAGGGCTGGTGGCAGAGCCCACAGCTGGTCCAGACGATCTGGAAAGCAACTGCCACAGGACTCCTATCTGGGGCACAAGTGGCTTAAGGCAAGGGAGACTGCCTCCTGGCTCCTACCCCACCTGCAGAGCCAGTCTGATACTGAAAACCACGTCTACCCTGGAGCCAGGGTCTCTGGGAGAGGCCAGAGAAAACTGTTACAGGACAGTCAGTCCTGTCACTGAACCCTTGGGCCCTCAAACCTGCACAGGGGACTCAAGCACAACTTTCTTTCCTCGCTGCTTTACCCGGCCCCGGGCATAGACTCTCAGCAGGAGAGCAGCGAAGACCACAGCCACACCCAACCCGCCCACCACAGTGACAGTGTGGCCATAGAGCAGGCAGGAGAGGAGGATAGCAATGGCTTGGCGGAGGGTCATGATGATGGTGAAGACAGCAGCCCCAAACTGCCCTATGGTGTAGAAGATGAAGAGCTGGCCAAAGGCGGAGCAGATGGAGAGCAGGAGGGCATGGGCTGCGAACTCGCTGTGCCGCCCCATGAAGCGGGTTCCCTCTAGGAGGGCGCCCTGCTCTAGGAGTGAGACCACTGTGAAGACACAGGAAAAGAAGTTGACCCCAAACATCATCTGCACAGATGACATCTTGTGGGCAAACAAAGCATCCTGCCAGTTGGAAGTGAAGCTGTCGAAGGCAATATAGCCACCCAGTAAGAGGAGGCCAGAGAGCGTGGTGGCTGGGGAGCTTCGAGGCTCGGGGCCGCTAGACAGCAGGAACATGCTGACCCCGAGGGAGATGAGGCCGGCCGTCAGGTACTCCCAGTGCTCGTAGCTGCGCCGTGACACCAGCTTCCCCATCAGCATGACGGGGATCACCTTGGAGGCCTTGGCCAGCACCTGCGTGGGGAAGCTGACGAACTTAAGAGCCTCATACTGGCACCAGCTGCTGAACACATTGGACAGGCTGGCAAAGGAGTACTGGTACATGGGTGCCCCGTGTCTTGGCTGCTTGAAGAGGACACAGGTGAGGCCTGCCACAATGAGCGCCAGCACGCGGTTCATTAGCACCAGGAACTGAGAGTCTGTGAAGCGCTCACCAGGTGATGTGGCTGTGGCCCCGTAGCTGCGGGTCATCACTCTTTCCTGCAGCACACCCCAAGTCAGATAGGACACCTGCGTGGGAGATGGCAGGGACAGGACACAGTGGGCAAGAGAAGGAAGAGGCAGACAGAAGTAGATCACAACTGCCCTCCTCGGGATGATTCAGAACAGTACATGTTGCACGTGTTTTGGTTCCTCTGTAGTAGAAGTTTCCTCCCCCAAGCCTCGATTCACCTTGGAGGGAAGCAAGTGTGGGGAAAATACAGTAACACATGCGCTGGGCTACCCAGACCCAGACCCATCTGTGCCTGCAGTGTGGATACTGAGAGCTAGCTCCATCCAAAGTGTTTTCCTGTTTGCAACCAATCCAGAGGCACATTCTAGGGAGGGGTGTATACCTGCGGTTCAACATGGATACGAGGTGGACTGGTACCCTCCCCCAGGAGCACTCACTCCACAGGGCTGTGTGGTCAGCATGTTAGCATCCCTCAAACACGCGAGTAATGAATGGCTCCCCCAAACTTTATCAGTGCGTGAGACACAATGGTGCAGGGGAAGTGTAATAACAGCCAGGCACAGGAGAAATCAGAAAAGTGTAAGATAAAGGCCCTCTGCAGCACCAGGTTCCGTGAAGTGATCACGTAGTTAACCTTCAGTACCAGCGCTCGCTAGGGGAAGGAGGAAAGATGGCCCCCAAAACATCCGAGATGGGGCATGTGTGTCTCTGGGAGGAGGGGGGTAACACACTGACCAGCAAACCTTTGGGTTCCAGAGTCCCTGCCCACCGACGCCCAAGGCAGGAAGAGAGGCAGAGCCTGCTACTTACCTGCAGCCCCACTGCGCAGAAAAGCAGCTTCAGGGCCTGCCAAGTAGGGGTGGTCTCTGCCGTCTCTGTCCGGGGGACGAGGGGGACCTCATCGGAGGCTTTGGGCTCATTGCCAAACACACAGGCTTTCACCAGGGGGAAGCAGATACCCCTGCCTGACGAAGGCAGCAAAGTCAGCCTGGAAGCCCTTGCAGATCCTCACCAGGCCCTGTCCAGGTCCCACTCCGGCCTGGACGTCCGCCAGCCCCCTCTCCGCACACCTGTCTCCAGGTAGTTCTTCCGCCTGAAGTACTGCACCAGGAGGTAGCCGGGAACCATGAAGCTGGCATAGCCCAAGGCGTTCACCAGGAAGCGGAAGAGCCACAGCTGTGTCCATGACTCCGGAGGGGCCTCGGGGTCCCTGCCTGCGCCCAGAGAGGGCAGCGCCGCCAGCACCACCACTGCCCACCACCTGCGGGCCGGGACAGCCGGGCTCGGGCGGGACGCCGGGGACGGAAGGAGGGGGAAGGCTGCCCCCTCCCGCCGGCGGACAAAGGCTTCTCTCTCTGCTCCCACACAGGTCCCCTCTGTCCCGCCCGCGGGCGCTGGCCACACAGGTCCCCTCTGTCCCGGGGCGCCGCGCGCCCTCCTCCGCCTCCGCCCCAACCTCGGTACCCGGCGCCCCGATCCCTGCCCTGCCGACGCTCCGAGCGGCCCAGCCCACGCGGGCCCTGTGTCCCCGTGGCTCCGGGCAGAGCCACGCGGGCCGGCCCGACGCGGGTACCCCCAACCCACACCGCGGGCCCCGGCGCCGTCACGTGGCCCGGGCGCGATCACGTGACCGCCAAGCCGGGCCCCCACCTGGTGTCCATGGTCGGACCGTGGGGCGGGGGGAGTGGGGTCCCCGGCTGCGCTCCCTCCGCACCGGCCGCTCTCGCCGCCGCCGGCTCGAGAAGCAGCGGAAGCCTCGCGCACCCGCCCTCGCCGGGGTCCCCACCGCTGCCACAGCGCCCCCGCGCGACCCGGAGGTGGTGCGGCAGGGAACGCCGGACACCGTGCCCCACCTCTTCTCCCCACAGCTGGTTTCAGGTGGATGAAGACTCCTTCCTTTTCTGGTCAGACCAGCAGTCCTGTCCTCTTGCCCCTGTGAGCTCCGCTCCGCTCCGCAGGCTCCAACACTCTCGGTCCCGTGGCGGCAAAATCCCCAGGGCGCCCCGGGCGCCCCACCCACCCACCGCCCTCTCCCACCAGTGTTCCTTAACAAGGTCCATCGCAAATCTGCCATTGGTGTTGGGTTCAGGATGGTAAAGGCTGTCGCGCGTGCTGGGCTCCAAGTGCTCAGGGTTACCAGCACAGGCCGGACCAGCAGGGCCCGTGTGGCCAGAATGGAGAAAAAGGTGTGAAAAGTCTGGGTTTCTGGTGCCTGCTGGACAAGACCCCTCCTCCGGGACTGTCTCCCATTCTCCTCCCTCAAGCCAACACCCCAGCCAGCAGGGCCCTACCCTACCCAGGGGCTAAGAGGGCACAGGGCAGCCAGCCTAGGCACACACACACAAACAACGCTAGAAGGGAAACTTTCAAGTCTTTGCTAATATTTTAGTGTCATTATTGCAGTATCCCTCCACCAAAGGCTCTGTACAGGGTCCTCTGTGTAGTTTTAGACAACAGTGTTTTCATTTTTTTTCTCTCCAGTACTGGGGTCCAACCCAGGGGTGATCCACCCCTGAGCTACACAGCCCAGCCCTTTTTTTTTTTTTGAGACAGGGTCTCACTAAAGTGCCCATTCAGGACTTGAACTTGTGATTCTCTTGCCTCAGCCTCTCTGGCAGCTGGGATTACAGGCACGCGCCACCATGCAGGCCAGGCTTCTTGAATTCTCAACAGCAGGAAGGTGGGACCCCTGGGGGCCCTGCTTTGCTGTTTCAGTCTCTTATCACTCGGGAGTAGCCAGGCCTTCTCCCCAGATGGCACCTGCCGGCTGGCCAATGTTGGCGGAAATGACAGCCCCTGCCATCTCCAAGGGGCACACAGGCTTCACCAGGACATCTTGGGCTTTGGGCGTCCAGTCCACGGGGAGCTCTCCTTCCAGACTCCTCAGCTCAGGACTGTCCTGTCCTAGGCTTGGGCCTCAGCCCCTAGGACTGGCCCTGGAAGGACAGCCACCCTGGGTCCAGGCTGCAGCAGGTGCGGCTCCCAACCCCCCAGGCCTGCCTGGCTTCAGTCGGCGCACAGCAGTGGCTTCCCTGAGATCTTCAGGTCATCGAAAGGCAGGACAGTGAGCGGCTGAAAAGGAGAACAGCAGGCAGCAGTCAGGAGCAGCAGGAGCAGCTGCAGAAGCAGAGACCTGGGAAACCCACTGGGCCACCCCTTCCCCCAGGGCGAGGGACAGACGTCAGGGAACATATCTTCACTGCCATTCCCCAGTCCTTCCCAGGTCACGGGCCATGGACCAGGCGGGCCCCTGAAGTCCAGGACAGCTATCTATGGAGGAACAGCTGAGACAAGAGGAACCTTAAAGGTGACCCAGCCTGTGCACCTTTGTGGCTGTTGGTGGGAGATTGGAGAAGGGTATTCACAAAACATTTGGAACTTTTTAAATTTTTGGTGATACTGCAAATTGATCCCAGGGCCTTCACACTGAACTACATCCCCATCCCTTTTTAAAATTTATTGTTTGAATCAAGGTCTCACTAAGTCATTAAGTTACCCAGGGTAGGCTTGAATTTGAGATCTTCCTGCCTCAGCCTCCCAGAGAACTGAGATTATAGGCATGTACCACCATGCCCGACTACATTGGACACTTAAAAATAGGAAGGACTGTACAGAAAACCTGTTTCACTTCAAAACATTCCAAGAGCTGGAAACCTCAGTATATTCCTCCTCTGCAGATGCTGGCTAAAGCCAGGTGGCAACCTGAGGCCTGGTGCTCCAGCTTCCTGTGGGCCTCACCCCCACAGAGCTCAGCGCCCGCCTGCCTCTCCCATTCTCTAGCTGCAGCATCCCTGAAAGAGTCTGAGTGTGGGCCCTGGTCCTGACCAACTATAAAACAGGCTGAGAGGGGCTGAGGTGGCCAGGGTGCTGTGGTGCTAAGTAGTGAGCCCTGGTTATACCACAGACTCCTAATTCCCTGGCCCCCAGCTATGACAGTGCCCAGTGCCCACCTCAGCTATGGGCATGGGAGGCCCATAGAGCAGGGCAGAGCATGCACGTCTTACATCCTCAGCCAGGTCCTGAGGTGTCTCATCCTCCACGTTCAGCAGCAGGGCATCGGCACCAGCCTGGCATAGCGTGGACGAGATGCTGCCCAGCCCACGGCCGGCTGCCAGGTGCAGCGGTGTACAGCCGTTGAGCATGCGGGCATCCACCTGGGCACCCGCTTGCAGCAGGAACTGCACCAGGCCCCGCTCCTGGGTTTCCACGGCCAGGTGCAGGGCTGTCTTCCCACTGGTGCCCTCCTGGGGGGGGACAGGATGTCAGCGAGGCCCCAGGGGCAGTGGGTCAGGCCTGGCACTGTGGAGGGGAGGCACCTGGGTGCTGGGCCACCTCACCTGGACATCGATGTCTGCCCCGTTCTGCAGTAGTAGCTCCATGAGTGGCTGGTTCCTCTGCAGGGTGGCGATGTGGAGGCAGGCCAGGCCTGGGGGCAGGAGGTGGGGTGCTGATGGGCATCCGGGCCCCCTGCCCCATGAGACCCACTGCCCACTAGACACCTCTCATCACACGACAATTAGGGCACAGCCCTGAAACCCCCACAGGAGTCTGAGGGGAAAGGAGCTCAAAGTTTCCACCTTTTCAGTCATGTTATTGAAACTGTCATGCTTCAGGGGTCAGGCGTCCTGTGACAGCCGCCAAAACACACCCTGCCCCAAGACACACCCCACCCACACATGTGGGGATGCACGCGGGGACCCACGCTCACTAGGATGCTACATGCCCTCCAGCCCAGTCCTGGCTTCTCTGAGACACAGGAGTAGCGGACCCTGTCATCCCCGGCCTTTCCAGAGACCACTGGGTCCTGTGCACTCCCTTGGAGTCATGGGGTTGTTTTCATTCTGTTTTGGACTCTCCTTTCGGGTCTTGTAATAGAGATTCAGAGTCAAGTTTACAACCTTTATCCCCTTCAAAGTGCTGACCATCCCACTTAAAAATCACATCAATTCTCCCCCCAGTTAGCACTCCTCTCTGTAAACACACTGATAACTCGCTTCTCGTATTTACTGTCTGTCTCAGGCTTTTTGCTTTGGTCACAGATGCAAGCTCCTAGGAGCCCCTTAGTACACTTCTGTTGAATGAATGAGTTTAACTTGTATTTAACTAAGCATCTTTTTTTTTTTTAATTTCTGGTCCTGAGGATTGAACCCAGGGCCTTCACACTAAGGTACATCTTCAGCCCCTCCCTCTGAGACAAGTTCTCGTATGTAGTTCAGGTGGCCTTGAACTCACTCACTCTGTAGCCCAGGCTGGACTTGAACTGGGATCCTCTTGCCTCAGCCTCCTAGACTGCTGGGACTAAGGGGTGTGCTACCATGCTGGCTTAAACTAAATGCCTTAAGGATAGGATTTTTTTTTTTTTTTTTTTTGAAACAGGGTCTCACTCTGTAGTTCAGGCTGGCCTTGAACTCACTATGTAGCCAAGGCTGGCCTCGATCTCACAGCATCCTCCTGCCTCAGCCTCCCAAGTGCTCAGATTACAGGCGTGAGCCAACCTTGCCCAGCTCAAGGATAGGATTTAGATTTCTACTCAGTACACAGTAGGTGCTGTGTAAATTCTGACTCTTCATTCATTCATTCATTCATTCCTCCATCTAACAAAGCTGTTAGTGAGTACCCACGTACTTAGAACTAGAGAAGCATCAGTGGACAAGCTGGGACCCTCCCTTCCCTGTGGCTGGGTTCCCTGTCTCCTGTCCCCTATCCTACAAGCCCTGGGGCTGTCCGCACCTTGCCAGTTCTGCAGCTGGAGGTCCTGGGGGTGAGCTGGTCTTCGGCCTGGCTCTGGCTGCCCCTCCAGCAGGCAGTGCGCACAGGCCAGATGCTGGCGCTGGCAGGCCACATGCAGGGCTGTGTCACCATGCCGGTCCTGCAGCGCCAGGCTGGCCCCCTTCAGCACCAGGGCCCGAACCGCACCTGGCTGATCCAGATGCACAGCCAGGTGCAGAGCAGTCTGTGGAACAGCAGAGGGTCACAGGGAACATGCTGCAGCAGTCACAGCAGTCTCCAGATGTCAGCCCCACGTCGGGAGCTGCTCCCAAAAGTCACAGCCCTGCTCTCCCAAAGAAGGACTCCCAAGCCTTCTCTGTCACCCCACCAAGTTCCTGGGACCTCAGTTCTGGAAACAGGGCAAGGGAAGTGGCCGCTCTTCTTTAAGTCTCTCAGCCTCTGGAGAAAGGACATGTGGGGACCAAATCCAGTCCCCACCCTCAGGGAGACCTGTGTCATCCGGAGTGGGGAGGAGAGGCAGGGCCACCGAGCCACCTCCCCTTGCAACCCTTCCCATAAGGCTCCATTCAGATGCCGCCTCCTGCACTATGCCTTCCCGGCAGCTGGTGCGTGTCTTTATCACAGCTCCAGTTACCTGCTGTGTGACCAGGAGGTGCTATAGCAGGGGCTGTGTCCTACTTCTCTGTGCCCTCAGCTCTCACCTGTGCCTGGCACACAGCTCCCTGAGTGACCCTGGTATGCTCTTGGGATAGCTGCCAGGGAAGACAGGTATCTGGGCACCGCCTCCTCCCTGTACTCACCTGATAGAGGTTGTTCTGAATGTCCAGGACCTCCTGGGGCAGCAAGGCCAGGCAGCAGAGCAGCACATCGGGGGCCTCATGGATCACTGCCAGGTGGACCAGCCTGGGGCAGGGGAGGGCATGGGGTCAGGACCTGGAGCCTGGGTGGGCCAGGGTCTTGGCGTGGGAAGGAACCCATCAACCTCTAACAAGTGCCCATGACTTGGGTGCAGGAAGTAAGAGCTGGGGTCAAGAAGTGAGGGTGGGTGTAGGAAGCCAGGAGTTGGGGACAGGCACTCCAAGTCTCCTTGGCAAGGGCCACTACTGGCTGGCACACACAGGCAGGGTGCTGATGGACAAGGGCCTTCCTGTCCAGCTTGCCCACACCTCAAGCTGTCCCACCCCAGGGCCCTGCCAGGCCAGCTGCAGCTGAGAGCCAAACCGAAAGCTGCGGAGTGGTGCAAGGGGGTTTCCAGGGCCGGGCTCCCCACTTCACTAGTCAGGAGGACAGGGGAGCAGAAGCGGGGTTCCCCCAGTGCCTCCCAACGGAGGGAACAGCTCTTGGAAGAGGGATGAGGAGAGAGCAGCATTTGCCCTGCTGCCCTACCCTCCCTGAGGCATTGCAAGCCCTTCCTTGCTCCTGTGCAGTGCAGTGGATTCGTGTTTGATGGGGGACAAGGGTCACAACCTAGGGACAAGGGGAGCAGTGGGAGGGAAGTGTCAGTTCCGGGGTTTCCCCACCTCAGTTGGGGAAAATGAAATCAGGAGCTGCAGACTCCGGGCTGGACCGCAGTGAGGAGCAGTCTGGCTACCATGGGCAGGGAGGGGGTTGCGCACACGGCAGGGCCAGGCTTTGGCCATGGGCGGGTGGCCCAGGAGAGAGTGACAGGGAGGGAGGGACAGCTCTGGAAATCCCCTCAGCCAGGGCCTGCTCTGGGGCCACATTCCTGCCACCGCCTCTCTCCCTGTCTCCCCTCCTCCTACTTCCTCTTCCCACTTCCACGTTCCCCTTGGCCCAAGGAGACAGGCCTTGCGGGGACCCGCAGGGAGCCCTGACACTCCTCCCTACACACACACACACACACACACACACACACACACACACACACACACACACGCAGCACCTGTCTCTGAATAGATGTGGCAAGGGCAACAAGACCACAATGTCAGGAGTCCCCACTCCCGGGTCAGAGGTCAGTCATGTGACTCTGGCATGGAGCCCCCACAGCCTTGGGATTCTGAGCCTGGGGTACAAAGGCCCTGGGTCTCCTCCCCCTCACTGGGTCAGAAGCTCCTTGGCAATGCCCACCCCGGATGAAGACCCTTGCATCTCAAAAGCAGACGATCAGGACAGATCCCCCTGTGGGCCCTGGCCTTGGTCATTCTACTCTGTCTGGTCTAGGGCTCTGGCCCCGCTCTGCTTCTCACCCCCAAACCTCAACAACCCCTTCCTCTAACAGTGTCATCTGCTTCCTGGGGGAAGTTCTCAACCAGCCAGCCTGTCTAACGCCATCCCTCTTCCTCCAGCTGCCTGCTGGCCCAGTCCCTGCCAGACTCCTCCTGGGGCTGGGGGAAAAGGGGTCCAGGGGAGGTGAAATAGGACATGAGGAGGATTTGGTGGGCTCGGAGATGGCGCATGCTGGGGAGCTGGGCTCAGCCTTCACTTCCCCTTTCTGAGCAAAGGAGGAAGTAGGCTGGGTAGCTGGCCACCTCTGTCTGCTAGGGGAGCAGTGCCCCACCGAGTCACCCTCTTGTTTGCAGGGCCATCCCAACCCTGCGCCCCTCACCCTGAGCTTCTGGGCTCTAAAGGACAACCTGTAGCCAGCGCCACTTGTAGACAGGGCATTCCGAGGTCAAGAGCTGGGAATCCCAGATGTTGAGCAAACAAGGATGCCCCCTCCCCCAGCAAGAAGAAAACAACTGGACCGGCCCGGGGAATTTTCTCTTCCCAGGGAGGAGACTGGGAGATTGCCAAGATGCGGGCTCTGGCTCCCAGTGCTGGGTGGGGCCCCTGCTGGCTCTGCCCACTCCCACAGGAGGCAGAGGATGCCAGGTGCTGGGTCTGGGTTTGGCGAGAGCTCAGAGGAGTAAGTATGGAGTGTGGAGGAGAGAGTGAGGACTGTCCCTTGCAGGACCTCGATGGATCTCCGTGGTGGCAGTGGAAGCCCTGGGCAGCAGCCTGCCTCAGTCTCACCGGTACTCACGTGTCGCCGTCCTCGGAGATGTAAGTGAGCGCTTCAAGTTGCTGGGCGCTCAAGGGCCCCGTAGGGGGCAGCGGCGAGCAGGGGCCGGGGTGCTCGGGCTCGGGGACCCCGGGTAGGGGCAGGGGCTCAGTGAGCGAGACGGAGTCGTAGGCCGAGTAGGCGCGCTCGCCCTCCGCGTCCTCCTTGGCGTCGCCCGGGGTCGCCGGGCCGGGCTCAGGTAGCGAGCGCAGGGAGCGCAGCGACTCGATGCCCGAGTCGCACTGGCCGTCGTCCGCCTCGGCCGGGTCCTTGCGCGCTTCCGACATGTCGCCGGCCCCTTCTCGGTCGCCGTCCGCCGGCGGCGGCGAGGGCGCCGAGCTCCACCGAGTCCACCTCGCTGACTGCTCCCCGCCCCAGCCGTGCTGGTCACGCCCCCGTCACGCCCCCGACGGCGCTTCCGGGCCGAGATCCCGCCCCTCCGGAATCCCCCGGACCTGCGCTTGCGTAGGCCGGAGTCATGGTTACCGTCTGACTCACGCCTGCGGTGATGAACTCTGCATTCATTCATTCTCTCTCTTCGCCTTTCTTCATTCCATTCATTAATTCCATGGGTTCATTCATTTCTTCCGCTATATCTTCGATTTCTTTATTCGTTTATTCATTCCTTTTTCAAAAAATTTATTTTACAATGCTGAAGACTGAACCCAAGACCTTGTTCCTCAGTACATCCCCAACTCATTTTTATTTATTATTATTTTCATAATATATTTTATTATTAGTCTGTGTTTGCAGTACATAATGATCTCATTCCTTGTGAGGGAATTGGTGCATGTACGTAACTCATCTCAGTTCTTTTTTCACCCTTTTCCTATACCCTCCCTCTGTCTCTTGGTCTCCTTCTCTTTTGGAAAAGATCTATCTCTGTTTCTATTACCTTTTATTTTGCTTTTTACTTCTACTTTGTCTTTCCTTTGTTTTGGAGGAATGTTTATTGATTTTCTGCACACGATGGACACTTGGTGGAGTTGGTGGGGTGAGGAAGACTGCTTCCTGTCCCCTGCCTGTTTCTATTTTCCCCACCCAGGTCCAGGAGTGTAGGTGGAAAAGGAAACCCATTAGGATCTTTGGGGAGCAGGTCTCCCCTGGGGCGCTGCACAGAGGGCCTCGTGTGTCCTCGGTTCCCACCACAGACCTGGGCCTGGGGCTGTGCTTCTGGAAAGTGGGTTTCTCAGCCAGCCCACTGTCTAATGAGCCAGTGCTCCCGGGCTTTCGTCCTCCTCAGGGTGAACCTCTGACCACAGGCGGTTGTGGCATCTGGCCCCTCCCAGTGATCGCGGAAGTTTAGTTCCTCACAGTGGGGCTGGGATGGGGAGGTCCCAGCCTCAGCCTCAGCACCAACATCTCCCCTTCCCTGTCCCTGCTTTTCCTGTGCCCAGGGAGGCCATGAGAGGGCACCACCATCCACAGGTAAGCTCCAAGCCAGCACTTTGTGACTTGCCTCTATCCATGACTCCATCTACCATCAGCCTTGGCCAGCAATGCCCAAGGGAACAGCTGTGTGTGTGTGTGTGTGTGTGTGTGTGTGTGTGTGTGTGTGTGTAGGGTACTGAACACAGGGCCTTTGCACTGGCTACATCCCCAAGCCAGCCCTTTATAAAAATTTTTGGGACACCACCTCACTAAGTCCCTAAGTTGCCCAAGCAGGGCTTGAACTTGCAAACCTCCTGCCTCAGCTTCCCAAAGTACAGGGATTATAAGCCCATGCCAGCACACTTGGCTTCTTTTTCATCTCTGACTTTGGGTAAGGCAGCTGGATGAGTGTAGATAGCTACTAAGAAGCATCCTACTGCCCTTCCCCCTGCAATCTCATTTTATTCATTGATCCATTCACTCACCTGACAAACACACATGGAACTTCTGCTATCTGTCTGACATGGTTCTCTTCGGGGAGCAAAACCAATTATTACAGTGACAATCGTAACCAACACCTACACTCCACCACCAACAACAAAAATATCCCAAGGTCCAGCCTTCAAAAGGCTTCCTGGGTCGGGGATTTAGCTCAGTGATTCTGGCGCCTGTCTAGCAAGCGCAAGGTCCTGAGTTTGATCCCTGGTACCCCCCCCAAAAAAACAAACAAAAGGCTTCCTGGTGATTACAATTCAGAATGGTTTCACTAAGGCAAGGTGGAGTGGAGCGCACAATTCGCCCAACTAATCAGTGGGGCGGGGGGGCAGGGGCTGAAGATTCCATTTCGACTAGAAATGGAAAGGGAAGAAGGGTGGGGGAGGGGAGAAGGGCTTGGTCTTACACATTGTTCTCCATCTCCTGCAAGATGAGAGTGTAGAGAATGCGTTAGGTAGGAGGCTGTGAGGATCATGAGGGGATAGCCTGAGGAAACTGAAGCCTCTCCTTCCCTTGGGGACACTTGGGGTGCAGCTCAGTGTTAGAGGACATGCAAGACCCCGGATTCCAACCCCACTCCTTCCCTTGGGGCCAGTGTGATTTCAGATGTCCCAGCCTCCTCCCCTGCATGCTCCTCTCCATCCTCAAAGTCTGCAGGAGAAGAGTCATCTGCAGACCAGTTGGGTCCAAATCTGGCACTATGTCCTGTCTTGATGTCCGGCAACCTGATGTGCTGGCCTAACCCAAATCCTGAAGTTTATTTCGACAAAACCTTTGTTTTTGTTTTTGAAATTTTCTTCCTTTATTAAGATCGAAGCCACACAAGTGGGCATCTGAGCCCCCTGCAAAGACACAAACCTCAGGAAGGATGCAGTAATTTCCCTTCTAATTCACACGGATGGAGGCTAAATTTAAGGAAACCCCAGCCCAGCCAGCCAGGCATAGGCCATTGCTGACAGGTGTGTGGCAGCCCCTTTCCTGGCCACATGGGGTCAGTATTGAGTCACGCACCGCCCCCAATACCAGAGAGCCTGCACTCCCCCAGAAAGCCCTCCTGACACTGCAGGAATGAACGGGAAGAGCGCCGCGCCGGTGGCAGTGGTATTTGGAAGGAAGACTCGGGGGCTTTGACTCAGGCTAGAATGTGGTCAGGGCCCTGGCTTTGTCTCCTCAGCAAGACCTCCAGGGCAGGCCCTTCCAGTCCTTCCGTGCCCCTGCTGGTTCCCGCGGTGGTGGCCCCACTTCCCACCTCCCCCCACCCCAGCCAGATTCATTTTCCGGAAACAGGCCTCATTTCCATGGTGACCTGTGGTCAGCTGGGTCCTTCTGCCCTCTTGCTCTCATCCGCTTTCCCGGAGCTCTCTGGGAAGGCTAATGTGTGTGAAAGGAGAAGGCAGGAATGGTTTTTTTGTCTCTTGGGAGCTCCAAAGTTGGCCAAAAGGAGTTGGGGTGTTCCTTGTGTTGATGTTCTACGAGGTGGAGAAGAAGCAGTGGGTGTCAGGAGGAGGATTATAGGCACCGAACAAGCCAGACATGGTGGCACATGCCTGCCTGTAAGATTGCTGAGAGACCAGCCTGGGTTACCTGGTGAGTTCAAGACCAGCCTGAACTACATAGCAATGATATAGGGGAAATAAATGGAGCCCCCAACCTGCTAGATGTCAGATATGCTGAGTTTGTGTTCTCTGAAAGGGAAGAATGAATTTTAAGGTGCAAAAAATGAATTTTATGTTGAATTTTAAGGAGATGGGTACAATGTGGGACAAAACTATGATCAACCAATAAGACTACAAGTTTAGCCGCTTAGGTAATATTGATCCAATGGGAAAACAAGTCACATAGCAAGTATATATGGAAAGAACAAGGACCACGGGCCGGGGATTTAGCTCCGTGGTTTCGCCGCCTGCTGCGCAAGTGTAAGGACCCAAGTTCGATCCCCAGTAAAAAAAAAAAAAAAAAAAAAAAAAAGATTTAAGAACAAGGACCTTTTTAGGAAGAGATGAACCAGGGGGTCCTGGCCACCCACTGGGGGTGACCGATGTCCACTCAGACCTCACTAGACCAGGTGAGCACAACCCTCAATCCACTGCTCATCATTCAGGGAGGCATGCAGGGCTGGTCACTCCATCCCTATCTTGAGGCCTGGCCCTCAACAGATGCACCTCCAGCCACAGCTCCAACATGCCTTCTCCTCTGCACTGATCCTCTTGAGGGCCTAGCCCTGTCTGACTCCCTAGAATATTTCTACCTAACTTGACTGTCTATAATAGCAAGATCCTGTCTCATAAATAAATAAGTAAATAAATAGACACTGAACGAGAGAGTGAGGAGCCCATGCAGGTTAGGAAAGGCCACAGTGCCAGGAACTCTCAAGACCTCTGCTCCTGCCTGCACGAGGCCTGGAGGTGGCAGACAGGACTGAAACCAGGACAGGGGGTGCAGCGTTTGGCTGTGAGATGACTTCCCAAAAAGCATGGGTGGGAGACACTGGAATGAACCACCAAAAGGGATTCCTCCTACACCACTAGAGTGACAAGAACCCTGGTCTTTTCAGCACCACATCCTCCTTGTTGGGCAAAGAGAAGGAATAACTGCTTTGGAGAAGGTCTTTCGGCCAGGCTGGAGAGTTCTGAATAAGTAGGTGGCAGAGAGGAGCCACTGACCTTGCCTACAAAGGGAAGGGAGGAAATGGCTGGATCAGGACTTGGGGGTGGGCAGCAGTGGCTCTCCTGCCCTGGATGAAACCAAGAAATACCTGGGCACATTAGTGTGCCCCTGTCCCATCCTCTGGGGTTAGATACCCAGGCTTTGCCTCAAGGTGACTTCCTACCCCGAAGGTCTCCCTACACTTTTGAATGGGAAGGATCTGAATTCTAGGAGTAGCTCTGTGAGTGTCAGTGGCTGCCCAGTAAGTCATACACCCTCCATCTTGGTCCTTGTGGGTAAAGAAGAACACTTACTGTATGTTAAAGACCCTAACAACACACAGTAAGGTGCCACAGCAACTGTGCCCGAAGATTGATCATGTGTGGCCTTGACCACATCCTATCACAGTGATGGTTCCAGGTTCTCCCCTCCCCATTAGATTTGTAGTTCTGGGGGCAAGGTGCTGGGGACCAAACTCAGGACCTTGCACATGCTAGGCAAATGCTCTACCTCTGAGCTATATCCCAGCCCCAAAGGTGGGAACTGTTTTATTCTGCACAGGACACACAGTAGTTACCTGGTTCTTGTTTATGGATGCAGGTGCCCAGGAGTGCAGGGATGAATGAATTCTTTCCCTTCCAGTCGGTCCAGGAATGCAGGGGTGGTTAGGTGGCTGGGAGCAGGTAGGCTGCCTGCAGTTCCCCAGCCCCGTGTGGCCTGTGTGTCTGCTTCCCACACCCACAGCTCAGGGCCTCAGAGATTGTGCAGTTGACTTTCTTTCTGAAGAATTTCTTGATGAAGAAATGAGGGCTCAGAGAGGGAAGATACTCCCCCAAGGTCACCCAACTCGTTAGTGCTAGAGCTAGGATTAAAAATCAGAACTCAGTTTCCTTGACCTCCAGCCGAGGGCACTGTGCTCACTTCATTCTTTCTAGAAGGCTGAATTTCGGGGGATGAAGATGGTTGGAGGAGGCCGGTCCTGCATCCTCTTCTCTGTCCTGTCAGTCCTTTCTCAAACCCACTTCCCTGCTCTCCCCTGTACCTGACTCCATTCCCCCCCCCCCAAACACATACAGCCTGGCTCTTACCTGACCCTCTCCCAGCACCTGGCAAGGAGGGCTTTCCGGGGGTCAGGGCCCCTTTCCCCTCCCACCCTGAGCCCCAGGACCTGGGGAGCTGAGAGAAGGTGTCAGGTCCCCTGCGGTGCCCCTCACCGGGAAGGATGAGGGGGCGCTGAGTATCGACCTCCCCGGATGGTCGCGCGGAGGGGGACGCAGAGCCTAGCGCGGGGAAGGGGTGCGGAGAGCCCCTGTTGCTTCTCCCCTTTGGGGGGGTGGTTAGGAAGCAGGCTTGGGGAGGGCGGAGTTTGGGGGGCCGGGGGCGGGGCTCAGCGGCGCCTGGAGGAAGAGGGGGGGCGTGCTGGCTCCGCTCCGCTCAGACAAAAGGCGGCGGCGGGAGCGGGCGGGAGGCGGAGCGGCGCCGCGAGGGCCTCAAGGTGACACCGCCCCCGGCCCCGGCCCCCCCAGCCCGGCCCCGGCCCCCGCCCTGGCCCCAGCCCCTGCCCCCCGCGCACTCCCTCTCCCCTCGGCGGGGGGTGGGGAGCAGCGCGGGCCCCGCTCCCGCCGCCCCCTCCCCGGGCCCGCGCAGGATGCCCCCGGCTCCTGGCCACCCCGCGGGAGATCCTGAGAGCCACGCGCCCCCTCTGCGCCATGTCCCCGCCCGGGTCCGCCGCGGGAGAGAGCGCGGGCGGCGGCGGCGGAGGCGGCGGGCCTGGGGTCCTGGAGGAGCCCCTGGCGGCGGACGAGGGCCCCGCCCGAGAGGAGGTGAGAGCGGCCGCATCGCGCCCTGAAACCCGCACCCCGGCACCCGCGCCCCGGCCCGGCACCGCAGCCGCAGTCCGCGCCGCCCCCACCTGCGGCCCGGCTGTCCGCGGGGCGGGGCGGGGGGCGCGGAGGCGGGGCCGGGGGTCCCGGGCAGGGGAGGGGCGTGGGCGGGGCCTCGTGAACCCCGACCCGAGCTAGAAGGACTCTGCCCGCCTGTCCCCGGGCAGGGACGCGGGGGGTGCGGAGCTGGGAGGGGACCGGGAAGGCGGCGGTGTCCACCTGGGCTGGGGACTAAAGGTGGGGTGTGCCGAGAGCCCAGACCCCCGGGGTCGCTGGGAGGTTCACCCTCCCTTTTGCGTCCTGCTGCTCCCCCTAGGGGCCCTAAGCCCAAGAACCCTTCAGTGTGGATGTTAAGCTCATTCTTACTCTGGAACTGGAAACAAAGAGACCGAGGAAAGTACCAGAACCCCCCTCCCCTGCACACTGCACACTGCACACTTGCACGCCGCACAGCCGGCAAGCGGGTGGGCCTGCAGGCAGAGCCCCTTCGGCCCAGGGGTCCTGGAGGGTGCCTGTGTCCCCATCCCGGGTGGGCGCATGGTGCTCCTTCCAGTCCCAGCTCCCTATGGGTGTTAAGTCCAGGGACCCTGCCTGTCTCTGTGCCTGCTTTTCCACCTAATCCCTTCAGCTGGACCGCTTCTAGGTCAGGCCTGAGGAATTGAAGGGACAAATCAGGATCCCAGAGGCAGTGTGTATGTATGGGGAGGGAGACTTAGGCCACCTCGAGAAATCAAATTCGGTGCTCATTTCTCGAGGCTGCGGGGTGGCAGCACCATGGGAGGCACCCAGGATGCAGGGTGAGGCATGGGCCCTGCCAGGTGGTAAACAACTCACCAGCCAAGCCGGGGAGAGCCGGGGAGAGCTGCCGAGCGCTGTAGGAGACAGGCCCCAGGAGAGGACCAGAGATGTCGTGACAAATGGCTGGACTTCAGACGTGTTCTCCCTACCCCTGCCCTGGCCCTGTCCCCATCCTGTCCCTAACCACATGCCTTTGTCCTTTTGGATCCCCCCTTCCCAACGGCCTTCTGCTTGGGGACCTCAGCCCTTCCCTCCTGGTCTAGAACTTGGGGAAAGGATGTTAAGATTCGGCACGAAGAATCTGGGGTGGATGGGGCTCCATAAGTGGCACTGAGCCGGGGTGGGCTTCGTCCTCCAGAGGAAGTGTTGGGAGGATGTGTGAGCATTAGGGAGGTGGGTGGGTAAAGGGGAGTGGCTCCTAGAACCCGGACTGAAAGTCTCTGCTAGAGTCCGGGCTTCATGTATTCAGGTGCAGGTGATCTCAGAGGCCCCTCCCCGCTTTCCTTGAACACTGGGAGGGGGTCTGGGCTGGGGACCTACCTTTGCTGATGCCTGTCTGTCCTCCCTTCTCCCCCATCCACTTCTCCCATTTCATTGCCATCTTTGCATCTGTCTTTGGATTCCCTCTGGACGCCATCCTACCCATCTCTGTCTTCTTTGCTTCCTGGGCATCCATCCCTGGCTCTCATCCTTCTCTGCCCCTTGGGGCGTCTCTCTCTGCACTTTCCCGCACTGGCTTTCTGGTCCCTTTTCCTGACCTCATGATGCCTGCCCTCTGGGTCACTTCTGTGTTTATCTCTGGTCCCTGGATCCCATCTCGGCCTGTTTTCTCCCCCATCCCTATATCTCTGCCTCTGCCTCTCCATCCTGCATCCATTTCTCCGCCTCAACTCCTGCTCATCCTGGCCCCTCTCTGCTCGTCGGAGCAGCAGCGTCCCATCCAGCCCTCTTTCACCAAGTCCCTCTGCCGTGAGTCCCACTGGAAGTGCCTCCTGCTGTCGCTGCTCATGTATGGCTGCCTGGGGGCAGTGGCCTGGTGCCACGTCACCACAGTGACCCGCCTCACCTTCAGCAGCGCCTACCAGGGCAACAGCCTCATGTACCACGACAGCCCCTGCTCCAACGGCTACGTCTACATCCCCCTGGCCTTCCTGCTCATGCTGTATGCCGTCTACTTGGTGGAGTGTTGGCACTGCCAGGCCCGCCATGAGCTGCAGCACCGAGTGGATGTGAGCAGCGTGCGGGAGCGCGTGGGCCGCATGCAGCAGGCTACGCCCTGCATCTGGTGGAAGGCCATCAGCTACCACTATGTCCGCCGCACCCGCCAGGTCACCAGGTACCGCAATGGAGACGCTTATACCACCACCCAGGTGAGCTGCCTCTCAAGATGGGAAAGGGTGCTTGGACCCCGTGGGGAGAGCGGGGACAGGAGGTCAGTGATAAGCTCACTGCAGCAGACACAGACAGAATCATGCCATCAGGACTTCACACACGTGACATCTTTTATTTAATCCTCATAATAATCTATGAGATAGGTATTGTCCCCATTTTACAGATGAGGAAACCGAATGGTGGAGAAGTTAAGTACTTGTCCAAGGTTATACTGCTAGTATGTGGGAGTGACAGCTCCGAGTGTAAACTGTTTAGGGCTGAAAGGCTGCAGGTGGCTTCTCAGGCTTCTCTCACAGCACACACACACCTGAGGCAATGGTTACCGGGTTCCCTCTCGAAGGTAAGGAAACCTAGGGTCAGAGACTTGCCCAAGGCCTGCAGTTCCTGCGTGGCAATGCTAGGCTTAAACTCAGATTCTGGAGCCCCATCCAAGGCTCCCTGAGGAGGTAGATGTGGGGGTCTTGGTGGGGGTTCCTCAGAGTCATCCGCACTTCCAGGATTAGACCTACTGGGTCCTAGGTTGAGGGGATGTTGCCAGAGGTGGTGGCCTCCTGCTCTGTGGACAAAGCCTGTGGCTGTGCAGGCAGCTGAGGCCTAAACAGGAGCCTGGAGAGGAGGGCTCCCTTGGAGCCAGTGCCCACTTGGAAACACACTGGTCAGAGGGAAGAAGGGGGAATATGGTGGCTGAGCAGCAGCAGGACAGTGCAGGTACAGGTGGCCAAGGGTTAGGTGAGCCCGAGGGGTAGTTTGTGGCCAGGACCAGACCCCAGGAGAACCAGAGCTTCCTTTTTGGTACCAGGGATCAAACTCGGGTCCTTGAGCTTGCTAGGCAGGCGGCAAAACCACTGAGCTAAATCCCTGGCCCCAGAGCTTCTTGAAAATGAGAATGCACACAGGTAGGGCTGGGTTCTAGTTGGTCCTGTTTTTAACACACTGGTTAAGTTGCGGGTCTCAGCTGTAAAGCAGATGGTGACATCTCGAGGGGCTCCAGCGGGTACCCAGAGTGGGACAGGCTCAAGGGCAGATGATCAGGCAGGAAGAGCAGCACTGGGGTATGCGGGGTTGGACAGAGACCCCAGCCCCCTCGCCCACAGGTCTACCACGAGCGCGTCAACACGCACGTGGCTGAGGCCGAGTTCGACTACGCGCGCTGCGGCGTCAGGGACGTGTCCAAGGCGCTGGTGGGGCTGGAGGGTGCACCGGCCACGCGGCTGCGATTCACCAAGTGCTTCAGCTTTGCCAGCGTGGAGGCGGAGAATGCCTACCTGTGCCAACGTGCACGCTTCTTTGCCGAGAACGAGGGTCTGGATGACTACATGGAGGCACGTGAAGGCATGCACCTGAAGAACGTGGACTTCCGCGAGTTCATGGTGGCCTTCCCTGACCCGGCGCGGCCGCCCTGGTACGCTTGCTCGTCAGCCTTCTGGGCGGCGGCGCTGCTCACGCTGTCGTGGCCGCTGCGCGTGCTGGCCGAGTACCGCACAGCCTACGCGCACTATCATGTGGAGAAGCTCTTTGGTCTCGAGGGCCCGGGCTCCTCGGGCGGCCTGAGCCCTGGCGATGAGATGCTGCCCCCGCTGGCGCACCGTCTGCCGCGCGTGGACACTGTGGACAGCACGGAGCTCGAGTGGCACATCCGCTCCAACCAGCAGCTGGTGCCCAGCTATTCGGAGGCGGTGCTCATGGACCTGGCGGGCCGCGGCTCGCATGCCCGGGGCTTCGCGCCCTCCTGTCGCTATGGCGGTGTGGGTGGCCCGGGCGCGGCCCCGCTGCGTCGCAGCTGCGAGCAGTGCCAGCGCGCGGCCAGCAGCTCCTCCATCTTCTCTCGCAGCGCGCTCAGCATCTGTGCCAGCCCGCGAGCAGCCCCAGGGTCCGGCGGGGGCGTGGGGGGCGCGGGCAGCCGCTTTTCCCTCGGCCGCCTCTACGGCTCTCGGCGCAGCTGCCTGTGGCGCAGCCGGAGCGGCAGCGTCAACGAGGCCAGCTGCCCCACGGAGCAGACCCGTCTGTCCAGCCAGGCCAGCATGGGGGACGATGAGGAGGACGACGAGGAGGAAGCTGGGCCGCCGCCATCCTACCACGACGCGCTCTACTTCCCTGTCCTCATTGTGCACAGGCAGGAGGGGTGCCTGGGCCACAGCCACCGGCCGCTGCACCGCCACGGCTCTTGCGTGGAGACCTCACTGTGACCCGGGCCCCCGATGGGTCCGAGCGCCCCTAGCCGGACTCTGTGCCCCGCATGAAGCAGGGCAGTGCAAGGGTCACCCAGACTGGGCAGGGAAGAGACAGGAGGGCACTGGGAGACCCTGTGGGGCTGAGAGCCACCTGCTCTGGACAGAGACCGAGGATGTGTGGGCGTGGCTCTCCAGAACCCCAGTCAAAGGCAGAGTGGCTCCTCCATCCACTCCCCCTCTCCACACACACTCGAGATTTCCTGTGCAGCCTCCTGGCAGGTCTGCTGTTAGTGGCAACTGTGTGAGAGGTTCAGGGACCCGTGCTGAGCCTCCTCTGGAGGGTGCATCCCTGGTAGGCTGCGCGGTGATGTGGAGGCGCAGGAAGGGTGTCTGGGACTTTCCTGCCCCTTGGGGCCTCTGTTGAGGGGAACAATAGGGCTGGCTGCCACCCAGCTGATTTATTCAGTGGGTCTGAGGCCAGGGCCAGGTGGCAGCCCCAACATAGTCCCCACACCGCGGCAATGTGGCTGTCGTCTTCTTGGCACTGGGCCCAGAGCTTGGGGCTTCCTTTCTGCCTCCTCCTGCACTGCTGTTTATGTCACTGGGCCCCAGGAGCAGGTCCTGAGAGATTGTGCTCACAGCACGCACGTCACTCATCTCTGTCCCTGGGGACAGGGAACCTCAGCCCTTTTTTGGAAACTCCGTAGCCTCCTCTCGGGCTTGGGCAGGTGCTGGCACCACCGGGGTGGCTGGCCTTAAAGCTGGCCAGGGTGAGCGATGCATGAGATGCACCTAGATGACAGATGGGCAGTGGGGCACACAGGGCAGTGGAGAGTAGAGAGAGAGGACCTCTAAAAGGGGGGCCCTTGCCTCCCCAGACCTGTGGGAAGGAGTGACATGGTCTTGTCCCTCACCCTTTCCTTTGTGGGCTAAGGACCTGGTCACTGGCCCAAGCTGGAGAGACACTGATTCCAGGGGCAGGGTCAGAGGCAGAAATTATCCAACTCTGCCAGACTCCTGGATCTCCCCTTGTGCCCTGAGCAGAAGCCCTGCTGTGTTTCCTGGGGTCTTCAGAGAGGCAACCTGCCACCACATGGGGGCGCTTGCTCCGTCCTGTTCCCCAGAGCTCCACATTGATGCTTCTCCCTCATGCTCCCCACCGCCTGCCCCGATGTGCTTGGTGTGCATGTCTTTGTACAGCCCCTTGCCTTCCCAGCTGCCCAGGTCCTTTCCCAGCAGACTTAGTGCCTGGGCACTGGGCTCACATCTCAGCCTAGAGAGGATGACCCTGGGCACCCAGACACTGTGCCCCAGATGCTTCTTGCTTCTCTGTTGCCATCAGAGCTCTGGCATTGGCCTCTCCTGGCCGCTGCCTGTCTGGCCTCCCCCTGGCTGGCCAGGCCTGCACCTGCCTGAGGATGTGGGCTGCGCTTGTCTAGGAGTGTGGCCTCCACCTATGCAACATCACCTCTAGCTCCTGCCCTCCTTCTCAGGGGGACATGGGGTGGGGGCAGATTGTGGGGACAGCATGGCCCATGAATCATCAGTGGTCAGGCTTTCCAGGCACACAGAGATGGGCGAGAAAGGAGAGGCCAGAGAGAGTGGTTTGGGCAGAAGGCCACTGCCGCCCACCAGCCTGCCAGCTCCTAAACCCATTGGGACCCTGAGTCTGTGCTCCTCGGGGCCTGGTGGTGGGAACACCCCTCTCGGGAGGTGCAGAGGGTCTCATTATTATTTCGCCTGTATCGACCATTTCTGCTAGGTGTGCTCTGCCAGTCTGCCTTGCCTCCCACAAACGCACAGACTTAGAGAGAAAGCGATTCTTTGGTCTGTTTTCTTGGTAGCTTTTATTGATTGCCAGGGAAAACGAAAACCAGAAAATTAATTAATCTCTAAAATTAAATTTTACACTGAATGTTCTTGTTTCTCTAATTAGAACCTCTGCTAGCAGCGGTGGCCACACGTACACCCTCACACCTACATGCTTGCACTCTGGAACTGCTTGAGGGTGTCAGGCACAGAAGGACGCAAGGCCACCTGGACAGGGACATGTGCGTCACCTCCCCAACCCCCTGTGGTGCTCTGCTCGAGTCTGCTTGCCAGAAGGGGTCCCTGGAGAGTGGGCACTCCTGGGTTGTGGTCGAAACCTGTGACCCAGACCTTGGGGACTTGGGCTTGACCATTGGGCCCCTTGGGCGTTGTGGCTGACGTGATTCCTGTGGGTGTGGCCAAGCTGGGCAGCTTCAGAGTGACAGGGACTCATGCAGGGCACCTGGAAGGCTCCCTGTGTCCGGGGACAAGGGCTGTGGGGAGGCTGGGCCTGGCTGGTAGGAGACAGGTCCTGTCAATTGGGTGCATCACATTGTGGCCTTTCTGTGGTGGATTTCCAAGCGCAAAGATTGTACAAATCTAACTGGTGGATAATAAAGTTGCGATGACTCACCGATGTCCCCTCTGGTGTGGCACTTCTTCCCCTCTCCAGCAAGAGTGTCACTGTGTTTCCCCAGCTGCCACCATCGATGGCCGCCTCCCTCTCCCCCAGAGTCCCCTTCCTACACAGCACGTGAGCATTAGGAGGTGGTGTGGCCTGCAGAACTGAGTCACATCAGGCAGAGTTGAGCAATGGGGAGGTGGCATCTGTAGGCTGAGTGTGGCAGGAAGAACCAAGCATCACTGTGGTATAGCCACAATGTGTGCATGTGTGTTTATGCACACATGTGTGTACATGTGTGAAGGTTGAGGATCCAATCAGTAGATGGGATTGTGGGGAGATGGAGGAGAATCACCTCTGTGGACAGGGTGCATGGGAGAGTCTAGCGTGTACATTCCCTTGGGTCCTCTGCCTGCCTAATTCCTGGAAGAAGTTGGTCATTTTCAGGGGTCTAGTGACACCCTTTTCGCGGCCCTGCAGCTGGGTCTCCACTTTGATAGCTTTCCTCTGCTATTAGGACCCTCCTTACCTTCCGTCTTTATACATTTATCCCTTGATCGTTCCCTCTGAGTGTGTTTGGGTCCCCCCTCCCCTCCCTCGGGACCGGTGTGACCCTTAGCAGTAGAGTGCATGGCAAGTGCAGGGCATGAAGGACAGGGCTGGAGTCACTGCCCCGGCCCTGCCCGCACCTTATGCCTCAGAATTCCCAGGGTCATTGGCAATGACTGGCAACACAAAGTGGTTGGGATTCAAGGCCCGCTGGCGGGCAGCTTCCCGGTTCGCATGGAGGGCCTGGCCAATGAGGTACTCGCTCTCTTGGGTGACATCCGACAGGCGCAAGTCGAACTCCAGGAGGGTCTTGTTGTCTGCCACACCCTCCAGTAGCTGCTTCCCACCATCCTGGGAGGGCAGAAGGGAAAGGGTCATGGGGCATCGTGGTGCGGGTGACAGGCACGCACACATTTACCCAGAAATGCATCCGAGACAGCTGCCATTACCCTGCTGTGTACTGACCTACTCCTGCCGATTCACTCAGGCAGCGTGGCCAAGACCTGCTAAAGTGGCTGTCCCACTCCAGTGACAGTGATCACACTCCTCTACCCCTAGCTGGGGCCTGGGGACAAGTCTGTCTAGGGACAGGGGAAGAGGAGCTCAGAGGAGACAGCTCTGGGCAGCTTCTCCTTACCCTGACCAGAGAACGGGGAGGTGCATCACAGCGCTGTCCCTTCCTGCCTCTGCCTGCTGCCAGGCAAGATGCCAAACTGCAGCATTTCTCAGGAGCAGGAGAGGAGGACCAGAGAGGCCATGGCCATGGGCCAATGGGCAGAGTACAGGATGGCCCTGTGCTTCTGGTCATCTGAGCACTCAGTGACCCCCCTGTAGAAGCCATTTCCCAGCTAAGCTGTAGCAGGAGCACCCCCGTGGGGACAGCAGAGAGGGGCTGCATGGCGGCTAAGTGGGGGTCTCACTGGAGCACACAGGGCCCCTCCCGCAGGTCCTCCACCCCAGCTCTTCTGGGTCAGTGTGAAGACTCCCATGAGGGAGGCAGAATTCTGCTGTTCTGTGGATGAATGCCACTACTGTGTTGGGAAGCAAATGTAATGGGTCAAGAAATGAATAGAGTAGAATCTAAAGGAAAACATTAGCATAAATCACAGGGAGTAAAAGATTTCAATGGCTCTGTGTGTGTGTGTGTGTGTGTGTGTGTGTGTGTGTGTGTTCCTATAACTTGCTTCCTCCCCACCCCCGTAGAAATGGGAATTAACACCCTGAGCCCCCTTTAAAATATTTTTTTAAAGTTTTGTGACAGAGTCTTGCTAAGTCACTAAATTGTCCAGGCTGGGCTCTAACTTTCGATTCTCCCGCTTCAACTTCCCAGAGTGCTGGATTACAGATGTGTAGTACCAGGCCTGGTATACCTGACATTTCTTCTTCCATGGCTTGCTCAAGAAAGTTTGAGAATCACTGTTTGTCACAGAAGACTCAGGCTGGGCTGCAGCATGAGTTGGTGGTGCAGTGCTTGTCTAGAAAAGACTCAGTCTAGGCTGGGGGGCAGTGGTAAACCGCATGCCTAGCATGCAGAAGGACCTGGGTTCAATCCCCAGCACCATAAAAAAGAAACTCCCACGTATGAGATAACTGTGAAGACAAAGGGAAAGGAGCAGATGTTGGGTACACCCCTTGGCCCAGCGTGCATTCGTATGTGAGTATGTGACACTGCACGTAGCACCAGAAGCCTGAGGTTCCAGTATTCCTCCTGCAGGGAGCCTGAACCAGCCTGGCTGCCTGCCCTCCCAGAGGCCTGGCTCACCGGCCCGATGTGGTTGCAGGACAGGTTGATGCTGGTGAGGGAGGTGTTGACGGCGAGGGCCTGGGACAGGAACATGGCCGTGGGCTCCGACAGCTCATTGCCACCCAGGTGCAGGGTGGTGAGGCACATGTTGGTCAGCAGGGCGTGCGCCAGGGCCTGGCCGCCCTCATCCTTGATGCAGTTGAGGCGCAGGTTGAGGGAGAGAAGATAGGCATTGTGTGCCAGGGCGTGAGCCAGTGCCTGGGCCCCGGGTGCACGCACTCGGTTGTTGGCTAGGTTCAGCACACGCAAGCGGCTGTGGCTGAGCAGCTTGGCCGCACCGTGTGCCCCACGGTCCCCGATGAGGTTGTGAGACAGGTCCAGCTCCTCCAGGGCCGGGTGGTTGAGCAGGCTGCAGATCAGAATGCGGGCCTTGTCGTCATCCACGCGGCTGCGGGCCAGCCTGAAGATCTGTGGAGGGAGGCATGACAGCCTGCTGCCAGCACACCTTTCGCAGGGCGGGCAGCGCCACCCAGTGATTCAGAATTGGTGGTGGGGGAAGAGACCCTATTGATGGAGTGATTGCTGTGTGGGCATGCTGCCAGCACCTTTTCTAACCCTTGTCCCTGACCGCCAGCACCCTGGTGGAGTCGGGCAAGTTCTCGCTCCATTTTGGGGAGAGAAGAAGAAGGCTTAGGGAAGTCCCATTACTCAATCATCCAGGTCTGTCTGATGCCCCAGCCGATTTCTCTCTCTCTCCCTGTCTCCATCTCTGTCTGTGGTGGTACTGAGGATCGAACCCAGGGCCTTTGCACTGAGCTACTTCCCAGCCTTTTTAAATTTTAAAAAAAAAATTTTTTTTAAAGACACTACATTACCCAGGCTAGGCTGGAACTTTGGATCCTCCTGCCTCAGCCTCCCAAGTGCTGGGATTGCAGGCATGTGCCTCCACTCCTGGCTTGCAAATTCCTTCTTAGGCAAACCCAAAGCCTTCATCTGTTCCTGCTCTGCTCTCTGCCTTCACAGTCAAGCTCTTGGCAGAGTGGATCACAGCACCCCCTCCTCTCTTCTGCAGCTCCTGGCTCCTGGCCCTGGCACCCCACTGCAATTCCTCCAGCAAACCCCCGGCTTGCTAAGTCAGTCTCTGGTGCCAAGCTCTCCACTGCTCACTCCTAGTGGCACATGCTCTCCAGGGCTTGGGCACGCAATGCCAGGTCCCTTCCCTCCTGCCTCAGGTTTCTGCCAGGCTCCCCTAGAGCCACCTGCCAGTGTCTCATGCCCCTCTTCTGGCTCCCTTGGGAGCACCATCCTGAGCCCACACTCGAGAGGCTGGCACCCATTTCCATGCTTCATTCAGACCTCTCCTGAGAGCTGCAGACCCTCCCTGATGGAGGTTACTGCTCCAGGACATCTTAAGTGGAAACCCAGTCCTCCTCCCATCATCCCCATCTTGCCAGTGGACCCCCAGACATCTGGTCTCCCGGACAGGAATGCCTGAGGCCAATGTGTCCTTCCTCCTCTTCCACATGCTCCTCGTGCCAGCAAGGCTGCTGATGCAATTGCTCAAGCCTCTCTCCTTCATTCTCTTCTCCCCTCTCTGCAGGCAGAGCCAAAGTGCACCATTGTCTGCATTTGGCAGGGGAGTCCTAAGTGACCCGCTATGTCTGCAACCCAACAACATAATGTCCCTGTCAACAAGACCTTGCACGGTCCTGTGGTTTGGATACCCTGGTGTCCCTGCGGGTTCCTGTGCTGGTGACCTGGTCCCTGAGTGTGATGGAGAGAGGTGTGGAGCCTTTAAGAGGTGGGGCCTGCTGGTCCCTGGTTAAGTCACTGGGGGCATTACTTCTGGAAGAGATTAATGAGGCTCTCTCAGGATCCCACTTGGTTCTCACAAGACCGTGAGGCCATACCACCGTGTGCTTGGTCTTTTTCATGCACATTCATTTCCCTTTCTGTTTCTCTGGCATGTTGAGGAGGAAAAGTAGGGCGGACACTGAGCTGTACAGGCCTCCAGCCTCTGGGGTTGTGAGCCAGACACCCTTCTTTTGTTTAAAGTGCCTGCCCTCAGATATTTTGTGACAGCAACGGAGAATGGACAAATTCAGATGGTGCCCAGAGCACCTTGAAATAAAGCCAGACCCCTGACAAGGCCTTCTTTCTCCCTGAGAGGCTGGCCATCCACCCCAGCCCCCCACTTCTAGCTCCATCTACACAGCCTGGAGAGGCCATGTTGCTCTGCCCAGGGGCCTGGATGTGCTTCCTAGCCCTGGGATGACTTTCCTCTCTCCTTATCTACAACTCCCACTCCTCCTGACCTTTACACAATGACACTTGCTCCAGGAAGCCTTCTCTGGCACATCAAATGTGCCTTTTATAACTGCACATAAGAATGTCCTTTCTTAGTAGTGCACAACTGTAATTACCGAGGGAGGTTGGGGCAGGAGGATCTCAAGTTCAAGGCCAGCCTGGGCAAAATAGTGACTTAGTGAGACTCGTCTTAAAAATACAAAACAAGGGCCGGGGATTTAGCTCAGTGGTTTCACCGCCTGCTGCACAAGCGCAGGGACCCGAGTTAGATACCCGGTACCAAAAAAAAAAAAAAAAAAAAAGGGCAAGAGGGGGGTGGGAATGTAGCTCAGTGGTAGAGCACACCTGGATACATGCGCGCGCACATACACACACACACACACACACACACACACACACACGTCTTTTCTTTACAGCACTCATCCCAATTAGGGGTCCAAGAAACAATACAGGATCCCCAGCCTGGGGGCATGGCTCAGCAATGAAAAACAAACACTACCCTAAAACAGGAGACGTGCTTAAGTTTAAATCTCTGACAAATAAATGTGTCCCGTGTGACATTCAGGACATACTCCTACAGAATACTTGCTGTTTACCTGAAACACAAAGTGAACTGGGCGCCCTGTGTTTCAGCTGCGAGTCTGCACGGACGCCCCCACCCGCAGCTGGAGGCAATCAGCGCCTTTCATCATGGCTACTGGCAGCTGCAGAGGCCTGCGGAGTGACTGTCAGCTCCTGACTGCATCTTCAGCACCCGGGACAGGGCTCGGAGTGCGGGTGTTTGTAGATGACTAAGCTGCTCCGGGTTCAGTCCCCAGCAACAAAACCCCAGACCAAAACCGGCTCCATTAATGAATGGAAAGGAAACAGGAGGAAGGCGATGGCAAGAGGCGAGGCAGAGGAGGGGACAGAGAACCGGGGGCGGGGCGCCGAGAGGTACCTTGAGCGTGTGGCAGGCCTTGACGGTGGCCGCCAGGGAGTGGCAGTCGTGGTAGGTGAAGAGGAAGAGGTTCCACTCGAAGTTCATGCCACAGTCCTTGACGCCGTACACCAAGTCCAACTCCTCCAGCTGGCTCAGGCCGGCCACCAGAGGGCCCAGCGGGTAGTGGTCGGGGCTAGATTCCTCTGCTTCCCCCTCGCTGCCCGAGTCCGACTGGTCTCCCATTTTACGGGGCGTAGGCGGCAGGCGCACAGGCGGGAGGAGCTGGTCCACGCGGAGGTTGCGCACGAAGTCCCTGCAAAGGGGCAGCAGGTCGAGGACAGTGCTGGGGTCCGTGGTGCCAGGGATGAAGCACCGCAGCAGACCCTCCAGGTGCCTCTCGAAGAACAGGCGCTTCCAGCTGCCGCCATGCCGGGCCACGTGGCACACGGGCCAGCGCTGCACGCAGCAGCGATGCCAGTAGCCCTCGTCGTCGATGAGGTTGGCGGTCACAGCCAGCGGCAGGTCAGGGGGCAGATGGCTTAGGACCTTCTGCTGGTATTCCGGGGGCAGCTGCTTCAGGATCGGGTTTTCTTTGGGACCAGAGGAGAGAAAAAGGGGTCACAGCTCTGGGGGCCCACATGGCACACCACATTGGCAACCCTTCTGCAGCTGGACTGCCAGTGTTTGTTCTTGGGGAGTCTCAGTCCGAGGCTCATGGTTGCCACCTCGCCTGATGGAGGAGACAGTCCTTGACTCCAGAGCCTCCCAGTCTGGTGTGATTCATTCATTTCAAACAAGTGCATCTGGAGCCAGGTGTGGTGGTGCACACTTGTAAACTCAGCATTCAGGAGGCCGAAGCTGGAGGATTGCTGTGAGTTCGAGGCCAGCCTGAACTGCATAGTAAGACTGTCTCAAAAACAAAAACAGAAACAAAAAAAAAAACCCCAAGTGTATCTGTCTGACACCTCCTGTGCGCAGGACACTTCTGGGAGGGCTGAGCCCCAAGAGTCGGGAGACAGGGGGCCCCAACCTCTGGGAGCTCACAATCCAGCCAGCAGAGACAGAAGAGACAGGTGGAAAGAGCGCATGGAGGTCAGGTGGCCGTCGTTGCTGGAGTCAGAACACTGGCCCTGTCCTCAGAGGGTGCCCATTAGGGAGCAGAGGCTGCCCCACCCATCCCCCAACTTTGCAGCGGGTTCCTGGTACTGAGCACAGGGCACCAAGCAAGCCAGGAAGCCACCTGTGCTGGGAATCTGAGTGGGCGAGGTTCTGGGTGAAGAGTGGCTCTGTGGGGAGGAGCCGTGTCCGGCTGGGACAGGAGGGGGCTTGGGGATGTGGAGGGCAGGCAGGGTGGGGTGTGCAGGAAGTAGGGCCCTGCCCTCCTCCCTGCCCCAAAGACTCACTCTGGAAGTTCCTGATGATGTTCTGGATGCAGAGTTCCGTGAGGAGGGGCACGATGGCCAGCGACCACTCGGTGTCCTCAGCAATGATCCTGTGCATGCGGCGGAAATTTGGGGCCATGGCCTTGGTAGAGACCAGGCCTGTGGTTGGAGGGTGGCCTGCAACAGAGGGCCTAGGGCCGGAGGAGGAGGGGGAATGGCTGGGGCTGGGTGGGGGGGTCAGGGTCCGGGAGGCCTGCATGCTGGGGGCTGGCGAGAGAGAGGCGGAAGGCCCCACAGGGAGCTGGACAGGAGAAGCTGCTCAGGTCCTTGATGGTGGCGGGGACCTGGAGGGAGAGAAAGTGGGGAGAGGGGAGACTTTGGAGGAGCTGAGAGTGCAGAGCCAAAGTAGATCCTGGTACAAACCAGCTGTGTGGCTTTGGGCAAGTGACCGAACTTCTCTGGGTTTCAGTGCTGCCTCTATGAAACAAGGGTGACAGTTACCAAGAGGATTATTTGGAGGAGGGAATGAAATAATGACTGCAGGAAGCAGAGTAAACTGTCTGGCACATGTAGCAAGCAACTGAGGTGATTCACTTTTTAGGTCAAATAGTGCTTGCTGTACACTGGACACTCCTTTATGTACATTAACACATTTATCTTAACAAAAGCCTTTTAGAGGTAGTTTTCTGATGGGAAACTGACCCACAGAGAGGTTAATTGACTTGCCCAGCATCGCACAGCTACCTTATAAAGAACAAGGAGAGATTTAAACTTAGTTTATCCATTCATACTTGGGAGGCTGAGGCAGGAGGATGGCAAGTTCGAGGGCAGCCTGAATTGTGCTCAAACTAAAAAACAAAAAGGGCTTGGGACATACCACACTGAGCCTGTGGCCATCCAGCATCGAGGGCATTGCGGGTTGAGAGAGAAAGAGGAGGAGACGGGGCGTGGCCTGCCCAAGGTGCTGGTGCCCTCACCTCTGCCCCAGGGGGTCTCCTGCCTGGAGCCCTCCTGTGATCTGCCCCCCCTCCCCCGACCACTTCCGGTTCTCCTGGCCCTGAATCCCAGGCAGCTTGGAGCACAGCAGGCACAGGAGAGGAGGCAGCTAAATCTGGGGCTGAGGACAGGGGATGTAATGTGGCTGGGTCTGGGGACACCCCGTCCTGTGCTCAGAGACCTGGGGATGGACAGGGCTGCCTGCCCAGCATTCAGTGCCCTCAGATGGCACCTGCCTCAGGGTGGCATGGCCTGTAGGGAGGGACATGGTGATCTGGGAAAAGGCGTCCTTGGCAGAGGGAGGGACCAGATGGTGCTCACTGGCGCCAGGCAGCTCCAGGAGGAAGAGCCTGGCTGAGGGGGTTGATGGCTGGGCTGTATGTGGACATTGTCCCTGCATGGTGACAGCCCTTGTGGAAACCAAATGCAAATTCAGCTGGGTCCAGCTTTTGACTCAGGGCCCCTTGGACAGGGCAGCTGAAGGGACTGCTGCTTTAGCCTCCCCTAACTTCACTTCACATTTCCTGCTTTGCCAGTTACCTGCTGTGTGACCTTGGCCTAGTTACTCAACCTATCTGAACTTTGGTTTCCATGTCTATAAAGTAGATAATGATTCTTTCCTGTGTGGGTGACTGCACGGACTCCTGTGGGATGATACTTGGTGACTACTGATGATCTTTGGAAAAGCTGCTGAGGGGTGGGTGCAAGTGACAGCACCAGGGCAGGCCGAGGACTTGGCCTGGAGACAATTCTCTGGGGTGAGGTGGAGGGTGAGGGGCAGCGGTGTTGGCAGCTGGATGCATGGCACCATGGAGGCAGGAAGGAAGGTCAGGTAACAGGCCAGCCCTGTTCCTGGACTCCTGGGCCCCTTCCTGGCTGTTCTGTTAGTCCCCGGGGACACCACGGGCTGCACTGCAGGGAGCAGGCCCAGGCTTGGCAGGGGCATGCGGGTCCCTGGTGGGCACTGTTGCCCGCACTATTGCCCAGACTCACTGCCCTGGTCTGCAGCAGTCCCTGCTCCCTCCTCCTTGGAGACCCCTGCTGGGGCAGGGGGACCCATCCCAGGGCCTCACCAGTGGCAGAAGGGAGGGGCAGGGCTGCTCCAGAGGCTGCCATAGGAGCCCTGCCAGGAGCCCCAGGGTACAGGGTTGGTGTCATGTCTAAGGCAAACACCGGGATCATTAGCTGCATAATAGCATAAAAAGGTCAGTACAAATCTTTTTTTTTTTTTTTGGGACTGGGGATTGAACTTGGGACCTTGCGCTTGTGAGGCAGGCACCTGAACCACTGAGCTAAATGCCTGGCCCTACCTCTTGATGTTTTAAAAATACATATTATGAAAATATTTTCAGTTGGGTGTGGCAGTGCACACCTGTAATCCCAGCACTCTAGGAGGCTGAGACAGGAGGATTGCAAATTAGAGCCCACCCTGAGCAATTTAGCAAGACCCTGCCTCAGAATATAAAACCAAAAAAGGGCTGGGGATGTAGTTTAGTGCAAAGGCCCTGAGTTCAATCTCCAGTACTGAAAAAAACAAAAAGTGTTTTTAAAATTTATTTATTCTTTTTGGTACTGGGGATCGAACTCAGGTCCTTGTGCTTTCGAGGCAAGTGGTGGAGCCATTGAGCTAAATCCCTGGCCCAACAAAAAGTGTTTTTGATAGGTCAAATGTCTTTTAAAACCCTGCTTTTAGGGCTGGAGATTTAGCTCAGTGGTTCTGCCGCCTGCCTCACAAGCTTGAGGTCCTGAGTTCGATCCCTGGTACCAAATAAATAAATAAATAAAATGAAAACCTGCTTTTACTCTAGTCCCAGCACTTGGGAGGCCAAGGCAGGAGGATTGTCATGAGTTCCAGGCCAGCCTGGGCTACATAGGGAGACCCTACCTCAAAAACAAAAACCCTACTTTTAGCAGGGTGTGTTGGTGCATGCCTGTAATCTCAGCACTTGGGAGGCTGACACAGGAGGATTGCCACAAATTCAAGGGAAGCCTGAGCTACACAGTGAGTTCAAGGCCAGCCTGAACTACATATGGAGACCCTGTCTCAACAAACAAAACAAAACAAATAATAGATCAAAGTATATTTAAAAGGATAATGGGGCCAGGGATTTAGCTCAGTGGTTGTGCCTCTGCCTGGCTCGAAGGCGCAAGGTCCTGAGTTTGATCCCTGGTACCAAAAAAAAGGATAATGAGCAAAATGAACTCTGTAGTGTGATACGTGGCTCCTCCCCAGGCAGGTGTCACCCTGCTTGCCTCTGCCACTCTCCTGGGTCTCTATGAAGGCTTGGCACTGTGCCCACCATGCACGTGTTGAGGCCTCCAGGGTCCTCTCATCCTCTCTCAGGGCCCAGCTCCCTTCTCCCCTGAGCTCAGGGGTCCCAGCTGTCCTGCCCATGCCCCACATCCAGCTGCTGGTTCCCCTCACCTGCTCCCCAGCCCCCTCTGGCCTTTCCTGCTGCCTCCACATCTGCTTGCACCAGAGCCTAGCTGTTAGCTCCTGGCGTCAGCTGGTCCTCCCATGTCTGGGCCTGGGGAACCCTTGGCACCCGACTGGGCACAGGCAGCTTCCTTGGCTCCTGTGTCCGAGGCCTCCCTGCTCTTGCACCCAGGACACTGTGAGCCTCTGCCACCTCACCTGGGAAAGGGATACTGCTGCACTGGGTCTCAGCTCAGTACCACTCACTGGGCTTTCCTGTCCCCCAGCCTGCTAAGTCACCCTCCAACCCGTGTCACTGCCTGGGGTGGGGATCAGGGGTGGGGGCTGCTCCCTACTTCTGCTCTCGTGGATTTCAGGCTTGCTCCGGTGAGTGCTGGTGAAGACCATCCTATTGGCTAGAGCCATTGGTTTGAGGGTGGCTACAGTGCCAGCCAATCAGAGCCCTCCTTGGGTTTGTCCAAGTGCAGGCGACAGAAGGACAGATGTCCTTGAAGGCTTGCCGCCTCCGCTGCTGGGAGCCATCTCCCTCACACACAGGGCTGCCTGCAGCTGGAGGGAGTGAGTCCAGAGGGGATGGATGGCAGATCCGAAGCACCCTGGCACCTTCCTCCCCGTTCCTAGTCCCTGAGACCCCAGAAACCCTGATGCCTCCATAGCCCTAGACCTATTTTTTTTTTTGTACCAGGGATCGAACTGAGGACCTTACACTTGCCAGGCAAGTGCAGTGCCACAGAGCTACAACCCTGGCCCCCCTGAGACCGTATGTGGCTGCTGCTTCCAAGTCCCTTTTGCTGAAGCAGAGTTTTGTTAGGCTCACAGTTTGGTGAGTGAGAGAAATTATGGGGAAAATTCTGTCAGGTGATGAAATAGTCTGTTTGTAGCCTGAGAACAGGGGTAAGAGTTTCTCTAACAGCCAAGCTGGTGTTTGGTCCCATGAGAATCATGGCGTTCAATCCCCCAGGGCCTGCTCCCAACTCCTGCCTAAGTCTGCTGCCTCAAGAGGGGCTCCAGTGGCCTGGCTCTCAGCTCCCTCAGACACCCCAGCAGAAGGTGGCTCCAAAGGCCCCCGGTGCTCCCCACCCTACCTGGAGTGAAGACTCTGGCTTCTCTGTGATGGAGGGAACCATCGTAGGGGGTAGGGGGGGCTTGTGGGGCTGCAGGGAGAGGGGTCACCCTTCTGAGGCCCCCAGGGTTTAGGACCGCTGTCCCCCCCGGGGGGGGGTCTCCAACACTGATAGTGGGGCCGCGCAGTGGCCCCAGTGGGCTGAGGGCGGTGGCGGGTCTCCCTGCTGTAGTTAGGGAGGTGGTCGCTAGGGACGCTGGTGTTGCCTGGGAGGTCGTTAGGGACGCCTGCGTTGCCAGGGGCGGTCCCGGCACGAGACTGCGTTCAAGTCACCGTTCCCAAGGGCCCACGGCAGTCCACCAGGTCAGGAAATCCGCGGTGTGGGATGCGGGGTACCTGGGAATGTGTGCTTGGCGGGGTGGGGCATGTTCAGGATCGGTTGGGCTCTTCCTGGTGAGAGGGCCCGGAAAATGGCGGGAGGTGAGTGTGGAAGGGCTAACTCCACCTCTTCAGGACCTCTCAGGGGAGGCTGAGGCTGGAAGGAGCCTGTGCAGCTCCCACAGCTCTAGGCTGGCACCAGCCACTTCCAGCCCTAGTACAGGGCAGAGGGACAGACCCCAAGAGCGGCCATGAAAAGGAACTGTGCTGCAGGTGGAGGGTTCAGGGGAAGGCATAGCTTCCTTGAACTGCAGCTCCGGGTGACTGTGTTACCTAGTGCCACAGACACTGAGGTGACTCATCAGTAACGCTGGGCACCAAGCTCACCCTGGTGGCCCCCCGGGGGCCCTGAGAGGTGCTGCTGCCAGGCCCACAAACCATCTGCCTCAGGAGGACGTGGCTTCACTGGACGGCCAGCACCTGGGGGCCGGAGTGTCCTGGCCTGGAGACGCCGCCTGGATCTCCCCTATACCTAGCAGCAGTGCTGTGAGCTGGCGACCCACCTGGCAGGAGGAGGCTGACTGCCACCTTGGCTTCCTCCACCCGGGCTGGGCGTGTGCTGAGCAGCACAGTTGCCCCAACCCTGTCACCTGGCACCTGCTGTCTCCCAGCCTGGAATGCTCTTCCCTGACTGCCCAGCTCAGAAGCCCCCACCCTCCTAGTCTCTGGTGTGTCTGCACTCTCTGTCACCATCTGACACCACCTCTTCACTGCCTGCCTTCCCTGCGAAGCAAGCGCCACCAGGCCCAGCAGCTGACCAGCTCCCATTGCTCAGGGGACTGGCCAGACAGTGAGGCTGAAGTAAAACTCTGGACTTCTGGGTCACTGTTAGCGAGGGTGTGATCCCGGAGGGTCAGCCCAGCTGCCGTGATCCCACACGACACTTCTGGGGTCTCTGTGGGTGCCCACTGGCACATGGACCATCCTGGAACTCTGGCGATGAGGTGGTCCAGATCTGGAGCCTGGGCCTTTCCCATGTGAGTGGTCACACGGGTGATGGGCGCCCGTGTCATGGTGGGAGGGCAAGGCCCACTCTTTTTTGAGAAAAAGAACTTTCCAGTCTGCTGTGCTCTGAAATCCACTTTAATGAGCAGTCAAAGCTCTGGTGGCCGTGTCTTCACATTTGGTGGGAGTGACGCTTCTGGGCCCCTTCTGCGTCCCCAGCCTGTGTCTCCTTGTGTCAGGCAGGGACAGGTGGCCTCCTTCGGTTCAGCCACTGGGCCTCTTGGAGGCTGTAGGGCTCCTCCAGGGTGCCAGGTCTCTGTAGGTCCCTGGAGCGCTAGGGTCAGAGCTGGTTGAGGGCGTAGGCTCGAGCTGCACTGAGGGCAGCATCCAGGTCCATGGTGCGTCCGGTGCCTTGGGCCACCACATGCGAGCCCCAGGCCTTGCCTCCCATCTGGCTGCACACAGCCAGCGCCCAGGCCACTGCTGTGAAGGCAGGTGTGGCACCCTGGGGACAAAGACAGAGTTAGCCCAAGGGGGCCCTCCAGGGAGGTGGGGGAGGCTTTGGGGGGGGCTGGGCGGGGAACCTCGCAGTGCCTTCTGGGTTGGGGAGGGCTGTCTTGGGGACAAGGAGATTGCCCTGTCCCCAGGCCTCCTCCCCCTGCCCCAGTCCCTTGTCTGGGAGAGGTAAAGGTGTGGAACCCAAGGCCGAGGGCCCCGCCTCCTTTACCTGGGCCACCTGGCAGGCACACAGGACGCTGCCCACTGGCTGGGGGCTGAGCAGGAGCACAGAGGTCCCCGGGGCCCGCTCACACAACTGCCGCACTACCTTCACCAGCACCTGGGCGAGACAGGGGATGGGTGGGTGAGCCACGGCCACCTCCCGAGGACATGTCCCCTCCCCTCCCCCACTCCCTCCTCTGGCACAGACCGACAGGGACTGAGCAGACACAGTGTCCACAATCAGAGGCCCCTTTTCATGCTGCTTCAGCAGCTCCTGGGACTTCACAGCAGCCTGCAGAGCAGAGGGAAACAGAAGGCCAGGCTGAGAGACCGATCTGCCATAGTCCCCATGTCGGAACCCAGCCCCGCAGTCCCTCCCCGACGAGGCCATGGCTCAGAGCAGAGGCAGCAGGCCGGCCTTGCTGGGTCCTAGCTCAGGTTCCATCCTGTCCTTCCTTCACCTCGCCTGTTCCCTTCTGTCACAGTTCCAGGCCTTACAAACAGATCCCTGCAGGTGAAAGGGGGCAGGCCAGGTGCAAGCGGCAAGGAGCAGGCAGAGCTGGGTGGTAGGCAGTGGAGAGGCCTCAGGAGGGAGGGCTGCAGCGGGGACACTGTGTGGCGGAGGGACGTGGGACCAGCCTGGGGATGGTCTTGGTTGGCAAGAAGGGAGGAGGCTGCCACCCACAGACCACCTGTGCCCTCTGTCCCCTCACCTGGGCCAGCTCCAGCTTGCGGATGGCAGTGTTGGCGTGGCGCTGCAGCAGCTTCAGCCTGGCCTGCAGCTCCCTCCGCTGCCACTGAGGCATCACAGCTCTGTCCATGGCCTGCGGCCGGGGGTAGCAGTGTCACCCCCACCCTGTCCCTGAGCACCCGGCTGACAGAGGGTGGGGGTGGCTCCATGGCGGGGTGGCCCTCACCTTTGTGAGTCGTCCCACATCCTTGGACAACTGATGAGCCTCCACCAGGTCCCTGCTGCCCCGATTCAGACGCTCTGCGGCCACATCGACCTCCTGGGCCAGGCTCTTACCCACCTCTCGGGCCTGCAGGGTGGGGACAGGATGGTCAGGGCCAACCTAGGACAGGCTTGCAGCCAGTGGTGGTCAGGGCCGAGTCAGAAATGTGGAACAGTCAGGAATGAACCCAGCACCAGCACTGCATGTCATAACAGAAGCCAGATGCCAACCGCTGGCACAGCCACACCAGTGTGCCGGTGTGCATGCACCAGTGCTGGCTCTGCTGCCGGGAGTCCCTGAGCCTGGGGGTCTGCAGTGTGTGGCCCTTGCCTCACCCACACCCGGAAGTCTCCTCGGCCCACTGCTGTGCTGACCTGCTGGGCCTGTTCCCCAGTGATGACCAGCAGGCGGGTGGTGCCCTTGGTGAGCTGGCTCTCCCTGATAATAACCAGGTCACCCACAGCCCCTGTGCGAAGCAGGTGCCTGTGGGCAGGAGGAGGGAGAAGTCAGAGGGTTGAGGGAGTAGGGAGAAGCCTGGGCCCTGAGCCAAGTGCTGGTAGCTCCTCAGACCAGGAAGGGCACGGTCCAGGGTGGCAGGGGGTGACTCACGTCCCACAGCAGAGCTCCACAGAGGCCTGCAGTGCAGCCTGGGACATGGGGTCCAGGGCTCGGGCCACAGGTACCCCAACCGACACCACTCTCACAGGGTCTGGGTACACCTGCAGCAGATGGGGTGGGCTATAATGTCCTGTGGAGGACAGGGTGCCTTCTGGGTATGCCAAGGGCAGACACTGCCACCAAGAGGGTGGCCCTGCTCACCTCATCCAAAGAGCGCAGGCCAGGGACACAGGCAGTGAGCACCAGGGGCACCTCTGCCGTGTACACGGCCTCATCCTGCTGCACAGCCTCCTGCACGGTGCCCTCCACTGTCCGGAGCTGCTCTGGGGTCAGGGGGGCCTGGGGGGTGGGGGCAGACTGACAGCATCAGCCCCATGCGTGTCACCCTCCATGTTCCTGGGACACAGATGGGCATGGATGGCACAAGACAGGGCCTCTGTAACCACTGGTGGGGCAGAGGCCTCCAAGCCACCTGTGAGAGGGGCCTACGGGAAACTGCAGGCCTTCCCCGGCACCAAATACTTGGCAAAAGACACCAAGAAAAGGCTGTGTCCTCAGCGAGCTCAGATGGGGTGGCTTGGTTGGGGCGATGCAGGAGGGGGCTGTGGGGACAGAGAGGGCAAGTGCCACAGGGCCAGTCAGCCAAATGTATTTGGCTGCCAGCAGATGAGACGGGAGAGAGGGAAGGCGGCTGAGGCTGAAGCAAGGCTGGCTTGGGGACAGCAGGAACAAGGGAGCTGCTGGCAGGGCTGCAGGAGGACCCCCTTGCTGGCAGGAAGAGCCTGGGAGAGGGGCTGCTGGAGGGCCGCAGAGACCAAATGGCTGTGCTGGGCCCTCAGCCTGGTCACTCCACCCCCACAGCTCCCGGCTTACCTGGGTGGCCACATCAAAGCGCAGCCATTCAGGGTTGAGATGGGAGCCCCGCTGCTCTGTGCTGGGGCCCAGGGTCTGCCGCAGTGCCCAGCTCAGCAGGTGGGTGGCTGTGTGCTTCTCCATGCAGCCCAGACGCCAGGCCTAAAACACTCCTGTCACTCAGGGGCCTGGGTGGTAGGGGGAGGGTGAAGGGGCTGTGGGAGAACAGGGCTGCATGGTGGGGCTCTTACCTTGTCCACATGCAGCTGCACCTTGTCCCCCACCTGCAGGTGCTCGGAGGCCAGAACCTCGTGAAGGATGAAGCCCCCCCAGACCTGGGCCTGGGCCACAGGGAACAGCACATCCTAGGAAGGGCAGGGCAGGACGCTGAGTGACTGCTCGTGGCTTCCCTGTGCCTGGCCTGGTGTGACCAAGCCTGTTCTCATGGCCTTTACCCTGGTGTGGGGACACTACCTGGTGTCCAGCCCGCACCAGGTAGCCCCGGTCTGAAGCCTGGCCGCCCTGTTCGGCGTAGAAGTTGGTCCTGTCCAGAAGGAGGCCGCAGCGCTGGCCTGGCCCCACGGTGGCCACAGCAGCCCCATCCTCCGTGTACAGCTGCAGCACCTGGGCCTCACAGGGGCCAAACTCTGCAGAGCCCAGGATGGCTGTCAGTGCCAAGCGCGTACTGGGGATGTGGCCCATGGGTCTGGATGGCCGGGGCCACGGTGAACCCTGGAGGTGACCCGGCAAGCCTGTGCCCTGGGGAATGATCCAGGCTCTCACCGTATTCCCCAGTGGGCTGTAGGGAGTAGCTGTACTTGGGGCTGTCATCAGTGGGGGTCATACCACGGTGCTGCAGCTCCCCAAGTGCGTGCAAATTGAGGCACAGTCTCTGCTCCTGAGCTGGCTCAGCCTGGTGGGCCCGGAGCTGTAGAATGGGAGTGCGTGGCACAGCTGGCTGGGGAGCCACCCTGGGCCTTGCCCCCTTGGGCCGGCTGGAGAAACAGCCACAGCATGGGTGCCCTGGTACCAGGCCTCCTGCCCCTGCTGTCCCCTATCCCCTCTCTAGGGCGCTGTGCTACCCTATCCTCTGCTCCCTCCTGCAGGCTGTGGCAGGGCTGGAGGCTCCGTCTAGTCATCCGCATGGAGCCCAGCGCTGGGCATGGGGCTGACATATCACGGTGTCCCTGCCCATACCTGGGCCTCCTCTTGCACCAGCTGTGCCAGCCCCGCAGAGTCCAGCTGCACGCCCTTCTCCTCCAGCATCAGCTCCACCAGGTCCAGGGGGAGCCCCAGGTTCCCAGACAGTGACAAGGACCAGGCCACATCAGCTTTGGGGAAGGAGGACAGGGTGTTAGGGATGGGCAGTGGGGGGACCAAGGAAGGGGAGAAGAGTTAGGGGAGAAGGCCAGGGCTCTAACCATGTAGGTAGATGCCACAGGAAGGAGGGCCAGGGTGAGCGTGGGGCAGGGACAGGAGGCAGGGGGGCTGGGAGCGTGGATGAGGACAGCAGGGTGGAGATCCCACTGTACACAGCACCGAGTATTGGAAGGAGAGGACAGGAGAGGCCCCTCAGTGGGGGGCAGGAGATACAAGGCCCAGACACAAGCCCCTCCTGTGGCTGGCCCCCATGTCTGTGAGTTCCTCTTGCCTTGGGCAGGTCCGACTCACCAGGGAACAGATCGGAAGGCCCCAGACGTTTCAGGGTGCGGTCAATGATCCGTCGGCCTCGCTGCAGGGAATCCAGGAAGGCAGCCTCGTCCTCCGACACCAGGCTGGCTATCTGGCCAGGCAGGAGGCAGTGGAGCTGGGTCCCTTGTAGGAAGCCCTTCTCCACTGCTCTCCCATCCCCAGGGTTTTCTACCTGGGCTGAGTTCCTCTGAAGTTCTGGATATGCGTCTCCCTAGAGAGGGACAGATGACAGATAACGGCCCATTCCACCTCGGGCCAGCCTCCCTGAGGACATCCTGGAGGCTCAGACAGGGACCAGATTTCCAGTGGGTTAGGGACACAGGCACAGGGGTCCCAATGTCACATGACAGGCAGCCCGGGCAGGGGGCTTCCTGGAGCGTCCCTGCCTCTTGTGATCAAGTACAGCTTTGTCAGCCCATTGACAGGTGCTGGGCTGGATACTTAGCACCAGAGGAAGGGAAGCCCCATGTGCCCAGGCCAGGGGTACTGTTGGGGCACAGCCAGGAAGCCCTGCCCTTACCAGTGTCTCCACTACCACGGGCACCAGGCTGCCTAGGAGGCCAGGTGGTGCCCGAAGCACCTCAGTGGAGAAACGCACAGCTCGACGGAGGATCCGGCGAAGGACCAGCCTAGAGGTCAGAGCCCAGGGTAACTCCACAGCTGCTGTGCAGTCAGCCTGCCCCACCTCTCCCCTCCTCTCCCAGCAACCCTGCAGCCCCTGCCCTCTCCGTAGTTCCCAAGACTCACGGGGCACCCGACATTCCCGGGGAGACACCATCAGCGATGCAAACACTGAGCGTGCGGATGTGGTCAGCCACCACACGGTAGGCTGTGTCTGTGTGTCCCTCATCTGCTGCCCCTACTCGGCCCAAGTATGGGGGTGCCCCACAGCCCTGGAACGTGGGAGGAAAAGAGATGGGCTGCTGGTGCCGTTGGTGCCCTCACGGGGGTCAGCTTGGCCCAGGTGACGAACACATCTGTGACGACCTGCTGGGCTTCTACTGTCACAACCGTGGGTCCTTGAAGGACATGGCATCCATCTTGAAAACAGCCCTTCCGGGAGGCATTACTATCCTCGCTTTCAAGATGAGAAAACTAAGGCTCAGGAGAAGAGAGGCAGGCCACACCACTCGGCAGGAGCATATGTGACATGGGGAATGGGGTCCTGACGCCAGTCCTCCGGGGCTGGGTGCACACTGTGCTTACAGACAGCTTGACCTGTCCAGCCGGAGCCTGCTTCTGCCGCACTTTACTACACCAAGGAGAAGCCGTGACTAAGGCTCCAATCCCCAGTGACTCCTTTTCTTTTCCCTCTCAGCAGCTCTCAAAAAGACCTGCTTTTTTCTGCTTTCCCTGAACCTCCTCACCTGTGCTGTCGCCTGCACTGATAACAGCCTCCCAACTGGTTCCCCACTCTTACTCCTGTCTCTCCCAGGCCCCCTCTGCACAGCAACAGGGACAGCTTCCCAAAGTGCACCGGGACCCTGCCTGGTCCAGCCCAGCCTCCTCCTGCATCCAGGACAAAGCCTCACACTGTACTTCAGGGCCCACAGGGTCTGGCTTCTGCTTTCCTCTCGGTGACACAGATTGCAAAAACGGCCTGTCCTGAGCACATGCCACTCTGCAATATGACTTCATATAGTTGCTTCTCATCTCAGGATGGAGTCTGCTTCTCCCCCTCCAGCCTGGGTGGCCCTGTGACTCCCTCTGGTCCCCAGGATACAATGGAAAGGGCACTGTTCTGGGTCCAGCACTCAGCTCCCTGAGGCCCAGGGAGGAAGCTGCGCCTTTATGAGCATCTCCACTACACTGCTGATACACATTCCTCTCACAGGTCCCTATGGCCATTTGCCTCTGCTCACCTGATGTATGGCGTGGAACAGCGGGGAGAAGAGGTCAGTGTCGTAGGTGGAGCACCTGCCTTGCAGCACAGCCACCAGTCTCTCCAGGCCCATTCCTGTGTCCACGTGCTGCTGGGGCAGGGGCTGCAGGCTTCCGTCGGCCTCTCTGACCAGGGACAGTTGCAAGGGGAGGATTAGGGGGTAAGGAGGGTACAGCAGAGTAATGGGAGGGTCCTTCGGGGTCGACAGTGGGAGGAACCAGGTGGGCACCTCACCACCACCACGCACCCGGTGGCAAATGAAGAAGACCCTGGGTCCTGTCCTTTGTCATAAGAGGTCAATCCCACTCTCACTCCCACCCTCACACCTGTTGGACCCTTGTCTGGACCTGGACACTGCCTACTGGATGGAATTCTCTGCCCTAGAGAGACGCGTAAAGCTAGAAGAGAGTCTTAGAGATCGTCAGGTTTAACTCCATCATACTCGTGAAAGAGGCCAGAGAGTCGAAGTGACTAATCTGTCATGGCCAAAGGCTAGGATTCAATCAGTTATTATCTGAAAAGTGTTTAGAAATGTTCCCGACATACACTAAGTGTCCTTTAAGGTTTTGTTTTTGTTTTTTGCAGGGCTTGGGAGAGAACCCAGGCCTCATGCATGCTAGGCAAGCACTCTACCTGAGCTACACCCCAGTGTGTTTGTTTTATAAGTGCATCAGTCTTCTGAGTGTTACTTTTTTTTTTTGGTAGCGGGGATCAAACTCAGGTCCTTGAGCTTGCGCAGCAGGTGGCGAAACCACTGAGCTAAATCCCCGGCCCCGAGTGCTACTTTTTCACTTCTATCCAGGCATTCTCTGCTTCAGCACCTGTTACCTGTTGTGCTGCATGAAGACCAGATTCCAAAGCTCCACCAGCTGGGGGGCTCCCACCCCACCAGCCAGGTCATAGTGGATCTCAGTACAGGGCCCACAGGGGCCAGTGTCTCCCATCTCCCAGAAGTTCTCTTGTGGTCCAAAGGAAAGCACATGGTTGCTAGGCACTCTGAGGAGAAGGCCAAGGAAGTGGGAGGAGACAGGAAGATTCAGAGGCTGGGACCCTCTCTGCCATGAGAGCCCCCATCCAAGTAACCACTCAGCAAGAGGAAGAACAAGGCTGCCTCACAGCACCCTGGGATTTGCTGAGGCCCTGAGGACTGGTGCTAGGTCTGTTTCCAGTCCTCCTGCTCTCTAGGAGTGGGTTGAGGAGGGGGGTGACTTACCCTAAGCTGAGCCAGATGTCCCTGCTCTCCAGGTCTGGGTCCAGTCCTGCCTTGGGGTCACCACCAAAGTAGGAGACCCACAGCCTGTCCTCAGGGATCCCATAGACCCGAGTCAGCAGTTCCCAGGCCATGGTGCAAGCTTCTTCCTGTGGCAGAAACTAGCTGGAGGCCCACACCATGCCAATAAAGCCACAATAGCTCACACTTCAGTCTAAGACAAAACTGTTTGCACTCCCTGCCCTGCTCCCAGAACACTGTGATCGTTTCTGCTTCAGTGTCTTTTCCTGCCCAGAAAGCTTTTCTGCTCTCCTAAAGCCTCCCTTCTTTCAAGTCCCCCTTCTATGAAATCCTCTCCCCATCCTGGCCTGGAGTGACTGTGGACTCCAGTTAGTAACTTGGCATTGCTGTATGACCACTTTTCATGCACATTTGACCAGCCATTAGGCAGCAGGCACTTAGAATCCAATCAGAGAAGTGAGATGCATTCCTCTTACACACATCCCTCTAGCTATTTGCTTTTGCATCTAGAATGAGACCCTGCCTGAGCTGATGGGAGACTCACCTTGAAATATTCACCTCCAAAAGCCCAATTGCCAAGCATTTCAAAGAAGGTGTGGTGGGAAAGGTCTCGGCCCACATCTTCCAGGTCATTGTGGCGTCCTCCGGCCCTCACACACTTCTGGCTGTTGGCCACACGTCGGAAGCCAGCCATCTCACTTCGTGGATCCACAGTGCCCAGGAAGATGGGCTTGAACTGAGAGCACATGAAGGGAGAGGGGACATCTCAGTTGACACAGTGGTCACTGTTCAGAATGAAGGCTGACTGACCCTGAGACTGCAGTGTGGTCCTGGCCTAGGGGGCAACCTGGGAGCCTGGGGCGGCCATCTTTAGTGTGTGTGAGGCAGAGGAGGGGTAAATAAACCATGAACCAGAGACCTGCTAGGAAAACAGGAAAGGTAAAAGGAAGAGGAATGTATGAGTGACTGAAAACAGGAGACTGAGAGGTAGAATCTTCCATCTCACTTTTTATCCACATCCCAAACTTTCAGGGTGCAAAAAAGGACCACAGGGTACTAGGCACTGACCAGAACAGCAGCATTTAGTAAGGAACTTGAACACCCTCTAAGTTACCCTCCCATTCAACTTAATGTACACTTTGAGAACCATTTGGAGGGGGTAGGTGGTTGCTCAAAGTCAAAAACTTAGAGAATAGTACCTACCACACAGTAGGTGCGCACTAAGCATTTATTTGATATACAAGTTATTTTTGTTTAAAGATCAAAATTTTAGGACTGGGAATGTAGCTCAGTGGTAGAGCGCTTGCCTAGTCTGTGCAAGGACCTGGGCTCGATCCACAGCACAGAATGCATGCAAGCACGCATACATGCATGAAAAAATGAATGCACGAATGTATGCATGCATGCGTCCACGAATGGTCTTTCCCCCGTCAAAATCTAAAACTCAATCCCTACCCCCCAGTTTGCCCTTTAGAGCCCCGCCCCCAATGGCTTCACCGAATCACGCGCCCTCGTTCTCCCCGCCCCCTTCCCTCGCCCCGCCCCACCTGATTCATGCCCGCATTGACGAAAAGCAGGCTGGGGTCGCCCCTGGGCCGCACGGAAGCAGAGGGCACCAACCGGTGGCCATGGCGATCGCGAAAGAAGCTCAGGAAGGCGTCCCGCACGGCCGAGCCCTGGGTTGGAGGGGGCAGGGTGGATAGCGGCTTTCGGCTGGGACCCAACCACGAGGGCGATCTTCGTAGGGCCCGCCGCAGCCGCCTGGCTACCCCTGCCACTGACGCCGCCATCTTAGCTCCGGGCGGTGGCTTCACGGGGTCAAAGAGCGATGTAAAAGGAGGCGCGCGTTGCTGTAAGCGGCCCCTATCGGCCCCTGGCGACGGGAGGACTCACAGCAGCCTTGTCGCTGGGCGGAAATGGCTGGGAAGGAAGGGACGAAGAGGTCGGGGCAGCCTGAACCTGGCGTGGAGCAGGCTCTTGATCCATTTAGCTTGAAGCAGATATTCGAGAGCCCACTGTGTGCTAGGCATTGTTTTAGGCGCTTACGGTACATTAGTGAAAAAATTAATAAACTGCCCTGCCCTCTGAAATCTAGATTCTAGCAGCAATTGTTAGACTGATTTTGCAAGGTTATAAGTGAGATTGCAGGGAACAGATGTGGGTTCTGGGGTGTGTGTGTGTGTCTGTCTGTCTGTCTGTGCTTTTGTGTGTCTCCAGACCACGGGAAGAAGGTAGTGAATGCCAAGGGAATGTCAGTATTCAGTCAAGAGCCATTCAGTAACGATTTATTGAAGACTGCTACGTGCCAGGCACTGTCCTAGGCACGTGCCAGTTCCCTTTGCACTTGGCATTGGAGAGAGTCCTTTTGTCCTTAGGGACTGAAGGAGGCCCTTGGGAGCTGGAGTCTGTCTGTCGGAGACATAGATGCCAAATAGCATCTGCTCCATTATTAATTGCTTAATAACATTTGGTCTTTTAATTTGGCTGGGGATAAGAAAGAATCTAGGTCCTCAGGTTAGGACAAAGCTGGAGGCTAAAAACAACAGAGCTTTCTCTCAGGAGCCTCCTGACATCCTAGGGTTTGTGTGTTTTGCTTTAGGGGAAGACACCTGTCCCACCTCCTTTCTGTCTTTCTCTCCATGATAACAGCTGTGGCTTGGAAGCCAACAGCAAGCCCTGTGGATGCAGCCAGTGTCCTCCAGCTTCTCATGATGACCTCTGCCCTCAGTCTGGACAATTAAAAGCAGAGATCGCCAAGGTCAAAGGTCAGTAGGAGCAGCAGATCTGAGAAAAGCATGATCAGAGAGAAGGCTCTGGCCGCCATTCTTTGTGCATTGGGTTATTTGGAGTCGTTTGAAACACAGTTTCCTTGGGGGCACTATGTAGTCTATTTTGGACTTGTGTTTCTATAGCAATAGAGAATTCTCAACTTTGAGGATCCTTTTTCTTTCTTTGTCCACAGTTAAAGGTGTTGTTTTGAAAGTGTGTTTTGGTTTTTCCAGTGCTTCTAGAACAGGAACCTGAAGGCAGATGGGGATTTCTGTGATTGATGACCTTGAGAAAGACTGCAAAATTCTTTCCCAAGTTGAGCTGGGAGTGTTTTGCCAGATAAATATAGCAGGATCTCTCCCCAGTACGAATGTCAACTCTTTTTCAGATGCTACCCTGAGAATCTTTGTGTTACAGGAGGAACTCGGTGTTTTAGGCTAACCTGGATCTAATGTACCATGAATTTTAAAAAATACATCTTTACTGAAATATAATTCACACCATACAATTCACCCATTTAAAGCATACAGTTAAATATCTTTTAGCTTTTAGTACATTCACAGAATTGTGCAACCACTTTTACAATCACCTTTAGAACATTTTCATTACCTCCCAAAACACCCTGGCATCCTTTGGCCATTAACTGCCAATCCTTTCGTCCTTCCCAGCCCCAGGCAACCATTATTCAGCTTTCTCTGTTTATGTAGATTTGCCTTTTAGACATTTTATATAAATGGAATCATGTAACATGAGGTCCTTTGTGACTGGCTTCTTTCATTTAGCATAATGTTTCTTTCCCCCCCACCCCCCCGCCCCTTCTTTATTTCTTTCTGTGGTGGTGCTGGGAATTGAACCTAGCTCCACGTTACATTCCCAGGCCTTTTATTTTTGAGATAAGAGGGCCCAAGTTGCCTAGGCTGAACTCAAACTTGCAGTCCTCCTGCCTCAGCTTCTGTGTGGTAGCAGGTATCATGGATTTAAAATTTTTTAAAAAATTGTTTTCTGTTTGAAATAGATTTTCCCCTATCTTATTATTTATTCTTGCTGTTATTTTTTTCTCCCTTTAAATGTGTTCTTTGGTGAGTGACTTCGGTTTAGTATTTCCCAGTGAAGCAAAGTGGTTCCTGGTGGACTGGGTGTGACTTTTCTGATTTCGCACTGTCACCTGATGGGGAAGTTAAACCCAAGGGAGATGGAGGCAGAGAGAAGGCGCCAGACAGGGAAGTTACTGACCTGGGAACTCCTCTGGGTACAGATCCACTGTCTCAGTATTTGCAGCAATTTCATTCTGCACTTTCCATGCAAATGGGTCTGTTTCTGGGATCTCTCCATCTGGGCTTTGTGGGCACTGTCCCCGCTCCTCCACTGTTGTTAAAGATAGTGGTGCTTTGTCATCCTTCCATCTGGGGCTTCTTATGTTGCCATGTGACCTACTTATCTTGGCAGGTCCAAGGCTCCAGTTTTCTGGGCTCCCTCCTTTTCTGTTTGTTGGAAAGAAAGGACAGAAGGATCCTGGGAGTGGAAACTGGCCTTTCTGATTTCCTCTTGGGCTGACCTCTGTCCAGAGCTGATGGATGAGGAATGTGAAAGGACCCTCTCCCACCCGTGCTGAGCACAGGGAGTCCAGCTTCAGGAACTTCCGCTTATAAATGCTGCCTTTTAGCATCTAGGTGAAAAGTTTAACCTATAAGAGGTGTTCCTGGTTTGATGTGTTATTGGGATGCCCATCAAACCAGGCGTCCTGGCTCTTAGCAGCTTGCTGAAGATACAGACCCTGATTCTGATTGGCAGGTCTGGGATGTGTTCTAGCCAGTGAGGAGGGTCCCTGTCTAGGCCCAGCAGGTTCCCAAGGAAGCTGTTGTCTCTGCCAGTCTCAGTCTGTGGGATTGTGCCCTCAGTGACAGGGATTGGTAGAGTTGGGGGACAGTCTGGACACAGGCTCAAAGGATGTTTCCTTTGCCTTTTCCCGGGTCTACTGTTTCAGTGCTCCTGGGCTCTCTGCTCTCTCCCGGACCAGCGCCCACTTTGAGCAGGTGGGTGGGGCCCTGAGTGGATGGGTGAGGCTCGTCTGGCGCTTGCATACTTGTACCTCCGCCTGTTGTTTGGAGACCGGAGGATGATGCTGACCAGAGAGGGAGGGGTGAAGGCAATGGACCTTGGGGTTGGAGGCATGGGTGCCTCTGGGATCCAGAATTTAAGAGTTAGTGGGAGCTGGGTGAGGTGTTCCATGTTGTAATCCCAGCTGCTGGGGAGCCTAAGGCAGGAAGATTGGGAGTAAGGCTAGCCTGGAAAATTTAACTAGACCCTGGCAAATAGTCAACCAATCAGTAGGACTGAGGTAGAGCATTTGCCTGTCTTTGAGTTCAGTTCTTAATACCCCTTTCCAAAGAAGGATTACTGGGTCCTTGAGGTTATCCTCATTTTTTTTTTTTTAGGTACTCAAATCCAGGGAAGTGCTGCTTGTTGAGCTATATCCTCCACCCTTATTATTTTGAGACAGAATCTCCCTAAACTGCCTAGACTGGCCTTGAATTTGCAGTCCTCCTGCTTCCAGCTCCCTAGTAGCTGGGGTCACAGGCATGCACCTTCCTGCCCGGCTATCCTTGCGCATGTTTAAATAGTTATATTTTAAATGGTTATGTAAGTACCTATGTAACATCCTTGATTTTTGTCTCTTGGCCTGTAAAACCTAAAATAGTTACCATCTGGCCCTTTTAAAAAGTTTATCTATCTCTGCCTTAGACGTTCTTTTTAAAAATCCTTTTTAAATGATCACAAACCACAGGTGCAGAAACTCAATTAAAACAAATGTATACACATGTGTAGTTTAATTATTGGAAAACAAACATCTTGGGCTGGGGGTGTAACTCAAGGGGAGAGGGCTTGTCTGGCTTTTAAGAGGTCTAGGGTTCATCCCCAGTGCCTCAAAAAAAGTGAGGCTCCACCACCCAGGTCATAGATAGGGCTTGGCAGCACCCCAGGCCCGCACACCCTCTGCTCCAATGCCAGCCGAGCTGCGGGGTGCCCCTCCTTCCACAGTCCCGCCCCCCAACCCTACTTCTGTAGTAGTCACCACTTTGCATTTCTTGAGACTTTGAGCACCCAAAAGTGTATCCTTAGATGTTACAGTCTTGCTCTTTGTTTCTTCCTTTTAAAATTTGCTTTGCGGATTTCTGCATTTGCTCTGGTGGAAGATTTGGAGTAGGAAGCGAGGGGATCTTATTTATGCGTTTGAGAGATCATCCTACCTAGGGGGAAGGATGTGTGGGCCAGTGGAAAGCAGGGAGGCCTATTAGGGGTCGGTGGTGACAGCCAGGACAGAGATGGGCCTCTTGGGCAGTGTGGAGGCGGAGCTGTGGGTGTGATGGGTGGATGCAGGCGGAGAGGACAGGGCCAGCTTCTAAGGTGATGACGGAGCCACTGGGGTGGAAGGTGCCACTCACTCGGATAGGACAGCTGGGGGCAGGAACAGACTGTTGGTGGGTAGACCCAGAGGATACTTTGTGATCTGTCCATTCTGCTTTAGGGGATATACCCAGAGGAACTTTCTGAAGAATCTGGAAGAGATTGTATTTCCATGTTCACAGCAGAATTATTCACTGGAAGCAGCTCCCAGGTGTCCACGATAGACGAATAGATAAAGAAAATTCGTCAAAATGACATATTGTGCAGCCCTAAACAGGAAGCAAATTCTGACATATACTACAGCATGGCTGAACCTCAAGGACATTATGTTAAGTGAAATAAACCAGTCACAAAAAGACAAATATCATTCCACTTAAATGAGGTGTCAGTAAAAATCACAGAGACAGAAAGTAGAATGCTTTGTTCTTAGTTTCATGTCTTCAAATACTTAAAACCTTGGCTCGGCCATAATCCCTTGTCCCTCTCACCTTATCGGTTTGATTATCAGTTTTCTTCGCTGCTCTAGATAGTCCCCATCTGTGCATCACACAAACAGCTTTAAGGCTGCTGTTCTAAAGATAAGCAAGGTACTCCCCAGAGCCCACAATCCCTCCTGGCCTGCACTAGATGTTTTTTTTCTTTTGCTGTTTGCCATCCTT